TCCCAGGGCAATGCAAAACGAAAGGTTTGGTTGTGGCCAAGGTCCAAATACAGAGAGAGCAACATGAGAAGCAAAGTCTGGAAGCAGTCCAAGGTTGCATCACCATTTGCAATACGAGCTGAGTCATACAGAAGAGCTAGTATGAATACAGTGGTAGCTCGGGTTAAGAACTTAATTCGTTCTGGAGGTCTGCTCTTAACCTGAAACTGTTCTCAACTTGAAGCACCACTTTAGCTAATGGAGCCTTCCGCTGCTGCCATGCCGTCATCGTGCAATTTCTGTTCTCATCCTGAAGCAAAGTTCTTAACCCAAGGTACTATTTCTGGGTTAGCTGAGTCTGTAACCTGAAGCGTCTGTAACCTGAAGCATCTGTAACTCAAGGTACCACTGTATGTCATTTCAGCACTCTGCCAGGATCCACACCCTGAGCCAAAAGGCATCTGATATTTTCCAAACAAAGATTTAAACCTGCTCCTCCATCTCAGGAACCATCTTGCCTATTGGGTGACAATATTCTTAGAGGTGACCAAACCAGTGCGGTTTGGAACAGTTTAGCCTGCCACCTTCATTCAAAATAGAGTTCAACAGTATCCAAACATAGATCAAAACCAGCTTAAACTTAAGAAGTTCCACATGCACAGAGAATGACCACACCGGGGTGGGGTGGGGGTGGAGAGGGAATGTTCAAAAGATATAGTAGATAAATAAATCACAAAGAATAGCTTTCTCAAGCTTCCTTATAGAGACAGTAGGTGGCTTCTTCATTCTTTCAGTCTTACTGTCCAATCATATTTGTATTTTCTTGTAAGTTAAGACCCACTGTGTTCAGTAGACCTTACTACCTAGATAAGTGTGCATGGGATTGCTACCAGAAGCCTCCAGCCTGCTACATGGTAATAATAGCATTTGTGAACCCAGTGCTTTTTTTCGGGGTGGGGGGTGCAAGGGTACGCATACCCCTAAACATTTTGTGAATCTATGTTTCGCCTCATTGAGGGGGATTATTTCAATGTGAGTAGGAAAATTAGAGTACCTCTAAACATTTTTTTAAAGAAAAAAAGCACGGGGTGAACCTTACAGGAAGAGTGTAAGGACATGTGTGCTTTGAACAAACCAATTGCTCCATATATGCTGAAAACACATTTCATTACCCTGGCCTTTGGCAATATTGATATAGCGTATATAGCCTGACTCCAATTTATTTTCTACTCCTTTTTATAGGATATTTTAAGATTACTGGGGCCTTATGCTGAAGGTGTGTAACAAATTGGAACTTTAATGATAAGGATAACATTTTACTCATTTCTTTATTGAAATTTATATCCCTCCCTTCCTCTTGTTACAGGAAAAATCTTAGGGCTCCCTTGGACAAAAATAAAGCACCAACCAGAGCAAATTGAAGCAAATCAGCAGCCTGTAGGCCTGGTCTTTATTGAAGAAAGACTGTCGCGACAGGGTGTTCCCCTCACTTGCAGGTGAGAGGAAAGACCCAGAAAAATAGTGTGCAAGGTCTTATAAAAACTTTTGAAATTCCCTCCTCTAGGTCAAGCCCACCCCCCAGAAACATCATGCATATATTACAGAAAGGAGGGGTTGAGGGAGGAGTTGGTGGTAACCTGAGTATCTTGTCACCTGGCTGGTTCCTCCTTTCCCCCCTCCCCATGAGTCACTTCCAGGAGACAAAGGGGAGTTTGCAGTTTCCTGCCCCCTGAGGGAAGATCTGATCATTGTCCTTTGTTTCAGTCCATGCTGAATCCACTCCCATATGCAAGTTCTTTGTGGTCTTGATTGTCTTCTGTCTGGGATCATCTGGGCAGGGCTCCTGCAGATGTGCTGAGACAGTGAAGGGATTTTGGCTGACCAGGGTCAAACCCCCCTCCCCTTTTGTTAGTTCTTGTCATATGGAGTAAAATAAAAATGGAACAGTGCAAATCCAATGTATGGTTGATTTTTCTATGAATTTATAACAGAAATGTGGCGTATGTAGTGTGTGAGTGTGTGTGTGTGAAGTTTGTACAAGCAGAATGATTGGAGTGGGGGGGTTCCTGCTACACTCTCAAGGATGCTCAGAGTGGCAGACAATGCGTGATAAAACCAATAAAACAATTCCAGTACAGACTCCGTGGGAGCTTTCAATTTAAAAGGCTTGTTGAAAGAGGAAGGGCTTCAGTTAGGCACTGAAAAGACAGCAGAGGTGGTGGCTGTCTAATATTCGAGGGGAGGGAATTCCTCAAAGGATGCCTGCCACAAGAGGAAATGCCCTGTTCCTCCATTGTGTGAACAGATTTCCTGCTGAGATGGTGAACTCCATTGAACAACCCAGCTATCCCCAATTACCGTACTTGGAATCATCCTCTTTTGTCTGTGGGCAGGGGTATGAAGAGGGGGATAAACCAGAAGAGATAAGGGTCTACCAAGAATGCACAAGCTTCAAGTTTAAACTTCCTATGCCATAGAAGTGAAGTAGGCTTCCAGATGCCATATGCAAAACAGTATACTGATCTATTGTGAAATCAACATTCTATTGAACTTCATGTTTTTGTTTGCTTAGCAAACAACTCAGAAAGCTCTTACAGTCAGATGCTAACATGACCAGTTTTGGAAGTCAGCACAGGACCCACCCTTGGTGAGCAGATACATAAAGTGTACAGCAAGCAGGCAGAGGCAGAAAGAAAACGTCAGCAAAACACAGGGGTGGGGGAGGTACTCGGCAAGGATCCCTGGCCATGAGTCTACAAATGCTGTGCATACACGAGAGTGCTGGCAATGTAATCTGTGAAATTTCAGAAATTATGTCATCCTCTCAAGGCCTGATACATTCCCAGCTAAACAAATAGGAGTGGCTTCCCGGACCGCACAGATTTATATATTACGTAATTATCTCTCACAGTTGTCAAATTTCAACCAAATGGTAGCTGCAAATCAGAAGCAGGCTTACTTGACAGGGAACTCTTGGTTGCATAAAGATGTGGGGAATGCTGTACAGTGGTACCTCGGGTTACAGACACTTCAGGTTACAGACACTTCAGGTTACAGACTCCGTTAACCCAGAAATAGAACCTTGGGTTAAGAACTTTACCTCAGGGTGAGAACAGAAATCGCACGATGATGGCGTGGTGGCAGCGGGAGGCCCCATTAGCTAAAGTGGTGCTTCAGGTTAAGAACAGTTTCAGGTTAACAATGGACCTCCGGAACGAATTAAGTACTTAACCCGAGGTACCACTATACTTACATGGACAAATATGCATCCGCAGTATCCTTCTATATTCCTAATTTCTAAAGGATCTCTGGTTGTATTTCTGGGACGGACTCATGCATTAACAGTTTCAGCTTAAGAATGGACCTCCAGAACGAATTAAGTTCTTAACCCGAGGTACCACTGTATTGGTTTCCCCAATATAATGCCAGTGCTTCTGTTCCATTTCCTAATGTTCCTTTCACACTGCAGTACCTGTTAGAATTATAGAATTTTACAGCTGGAAGGGACCCAAGGGCCATGTAGTCTAACCCCCTGTAATGCAGGAATCTCAGCTAAAGCATCCATGACAGATGATCATCCAACCTCTGCTTAAAACCCCCCAAAAAGGAGAGTCCACCATCTCTCGTGGGAATCTGTTCCACTGTCAAACAGCTCTTATCATCAGAAATGTCTTCCTGACGTTTAGTAGGAATCTCCTTTCTTGTAACTTGAAGCCATTGGTTCAAGTACTACCCTCCAGAGCAGGAGAAAACAAGCTTGCTCTCTCCTCCATGTGACAGCCCTTAAGATATTTGAAGGTGGCTATCATATCTCCTCTCCTCTTTTTCCTCTTTTTCCAGGCTAAACATATCCAGCTCCTTCAAGCATTCCTCATTTGGCATAGGTCGTTTCCAGACCCTTGAACATCTTGACTGCCCTCTTCTGAACACATTCCAGCTAACATGGACACCCTACTTTTGAAAATGTTGATCACTCTATGCACTAACGTAGCTAGCGGGCAGGGCGACACTTACCTTGGGGGTGGCATGATGGAGATCAAGGTGACGTGCAAGTCCAGGAGCCCTAGAGCCTGGTGCTTTGCTCCCAAAAGCAGTGCAGTCTGGGGCTGGGCTCTTAGCATGCTGAGCTGCTGTCCCTCCCACCAGAGGGTGGCAAAAAGTGATGCAACTGGCACGCGCTGGCCCCGCAAGCATCACTGGGCCTGCAGCACGCCCAAGTCACGGCATCTCTCCTGCGAGTGACGTGGCACGGTGGCTTGAGTGCCTGCAGGCACTGTGCTGCCCGAAAAGCATTTGGCTGGCACCACCCGCCACTTCCTCCTTAGCCACCCTCCAGCAGGAGGGGGCTTGTGAGTGACTGCGAGTGACTGCAGGGCGGCAGAGCCACCGTGCCACGTCACTCGCAGGCAGCTGAGATCAGCAGTGTTTATCAGCTGAGATCATCGTACAATATCAGCGGTGCCTTGAAATCAGCTGCCCTGCTTTCCCTCGTGCGAGGAGCAATATATTGTTGTGTATTGCTGGGTCAAAATCGTTACCGTGGTGTTATTTCAAAACCGATTTTGGCCAACATATTGAAAAATCACACAGCGCTAAAACAGACCATAAAATTTGTGATATTGCCATGCAAATGTGACAAAAAATTGGTTGGGTGGAGGCAAGGGATGTGGCTGCAGACCCCCTGGGTCGGTTTCACAGACCTGCAGGGGTCCCCAAATCCCTAATTGGGTACCACTGCTGTAGAATATTAATCAGCAAAAGGCCTGGTTGAAAAGGAATGTTTTCACCTGGCACCTAAAGATGTATAATGAAGGCAAGAGGCAAACCTCCCTGAGGACAGCATTCCACAAATGGATGGAAGAAGTACTTTTCTTCTATGTGTCTTGAATCTTCCAATAGTTAAGGAATATCCGCCCTCCCTTCCCCACAGGTGGGCGGGGTTTGCGGCACCAAGCGAGGCTCACCTGGGCAGGTGCCACCCACCTGCCTGAGCTGGCCTTTGACCCGCCCCCGGCCAGGGAGGACAATGGACAGCCGGCCGGGGTGGGCCTAAGGCCAAGAGAAAAGAGGCTGACCCCTGAGCTCAAGCCTCTTTTGCTGCTCTTCCTTCTGGGATCAAGATCAGGATCAGGAGTGTATCCAGGCGGCCGGACTGAGGTAGGTAACCGGCCTTCTTTACTTTTGCTTGCATTTGGACGGCGGCGGGGGGGGGGCATCGCTCCCCACCGCCGCCTGCCCGGTGCCCCTTCCTACCTAGGCAGGCGGTGCGGGGCTCCAGCAAGGCCGCGTCTGGGCCTGCTTGCTTTTACGGTGGGGGGGGGCGCACTGGGAGGGCAGCGCAGGCCCGACTAGGCCTCAAAACGCGGCCTAGTCCCTTTTCTCAGTGGCGGGGGGGGGGGGCGGGCGGCATTGCCCCCCGCTGCTGCCTGCCAGCCCAGGAGTGGTGATTTTAGGCCTTGGCAAGGTAGCCTTTAGTCTAACATCAAGTTTGGGGGGATGCATTCATGCTCCCTCCCATGCGGCGGCGCTTGCAGGGCCCGTTAAAGGGCAAAAACCAGGAGTCCCTGGCCATAGAGCGGCGGCATGTAGGTCAAACTCCCCGGACGAGGTCAATGGACGGGCATGCTGTGCAGGTTTGCGCTTTGCAGTCCCCTCTCACTGGGCCTCAACTGCCTGCATATCCTCAGCCAGGCGGGCTGAGAGGGTTACCTGCCAAGGCCTGTGCCAAGTTTCCCACTTCTGAAATTCAATAAAGTTGTGGCCAATTTGAACCCATACTCTGGTCTCTTGTGTTATCATTTGGGAAAAGGGGTAGGCACCACAGACAGGGTTTAGCGCGTGTGCCCGCAAATGGGGAAATGGAATAAACTGCTGTGTGAATACAACCTCTATAACAATCAGTGGCAGTTGGCGATCCGAGCTTGAAGACATGTATCCACACCTCCTACCCCAGGAAATGCCCAGAGGTGACAATTGCTGGGCTCATTGTTCTCCAAGGGAAGCCAAATCTCATCAGCAGACTTGCCTCAGGCTCCAGACATGCAGAGGAGGTTCTATTGTACTTTGGGTGGTGGGTACTTAAGACTTCCTTTCTTACAAACTGAAACAAGAATGTTGCTAACAGAAATAAGAGCTCACTTGCCCTGTTCTCAAATATTGGCTTAAAACCCAAAGGAAGCGGAAGAAGAAAGGTTACTGAGATTATATCTGTTTTCTTTAGTTCTAACAATAGGTGGTTTCTGTTTTCCCCTCAACATACTCATCCACTTCAGTGGTTGATTCAGAGCATGGATGGGGAACTGGATGTCTTCCAGACATGTGACTCAAAACTCCAGCAAGCATAGCCAAGGTCCTCCATTTCTGAACTGCAGAATATAAATGTAATGGGACAATAGGTTCAGTCAATATTAGTCCTGTTCAGAATAGCCCCACTGAAAATAATGAACATTACTGACTTAGATCCATTAATTCCAATGGGCCTACTCTGAGTAGAGTTTAGTTGGACACAACCCAGTGTCGATTCGTTCTGTGGCACTTTTGCATAATGCACTATTAACTCTATTGACTGGGTGTTTTTTATATTAAATTAAAACCTCAACTAATGGTTTTATGAGGTGGTCTGAGAGCTGCTTTTAGAATTTAAGTCCTTTGTTCAGACAGGTGACACAGCCTAGGGTTGCCATACATCTGGGAAATCCTGGACATGTCCTCTTTCGGGGAGTCTACATGTCCATCTGGGGGCATTTTTACAAGTTATAGCAATTGTCTGGGTCTGATGTGTGTGCTCATTTTTAATTTGTTATAGTTTTTGTGTGTCTGTGAGGGCTTGGGTTCAGGCTTGGGTTCTGGCATGGTTGGTCTACCTGAAGGAGCACCTTTGCCCCCATACTTCAGCCCAGACACTGAGGTCCAGTTCTGGGGACCTTTTGGCGGTTCCCTCATTGCGAGAAGTGAAGTTACAGGGAACCAGGCAGAGGGCCTTCTTGGTAGTGGTGCCTGCCCTGTGGAATGCTCTCCCTGCAGATGTCAAAGAGATGGATAATCATACGACCTTCCATAAACATCTGAAGGCAGCCCTGTATCAGGAAGCATTTAATGTGTGATGTTCTGTTGTGTTTTTGTATATTCTCATGGAAGGGGGCACATGAAGAATACCCTCAGTTGATGGTTGGGTCATATGGGGAGAGGTGGTCCTTTTTAGGCTTTCTTTGTTCTGTCATCTGCCCGAAAATTACAACTCTATTGCACCATGCTCTTGCTCTATAACAGGATATCCTAAGCATCGCTTTCATTTATAGTGTGCTTTTATTTCTCATTATGCTGATCACAAGATAGTGGGACAGTGTGAATATTTGCTAAACAAGGAATATTGCCAAGCTCACATGCAGGTGTTGAGGGCTAAAGCACGGGATGATGTAATCGTTACAGGACAATCATTTTGGGATCAGACAGGCTACAGCTTTATTGATTACAGATGTAATTAGGTTTTGGCATAAGCATTGGGTGTGTATCCTGAATCATCCAGCCTCCCTGCTGTCAAGAACTTTACAAAGATTAATAACCATTTATATACACTTTAGCTTCTTTTATTAAACATCTGTACTCTGTTCATGTAATTTATTCCAGAGTAATCTTAACTGGGATGCAGTGGAGAATAGGAATGAAGGAGAAATTTTAATCCGTTTGCACTGTAAGAGACATTTGACAATAGCATGGACTACCTTGGAAGGTAGTAAACTCACCTTCCTTGGAGGTTTTTAAGCAGGTCGGATGGCTGACTGTCAGGAGTTATTTAGCTGTGAATTCTGCATTTCTAAACAAAAACATTTCAGGGGGTTATAGTAGATAACCCTTGGGGTCCCTTCCAACTCTGCAATTCTGGGGTACTTGTTAGAATCATAGAACTATAGAGTTCCTGAGGGGATATTGACAGCAGTCCCTTGACATAGCCATCTCACTTTCCGTGGAGATTTGGGCTTTCAGCACCCTATCTTCTCTGAAGAGGCAGGGACCTATGAGGATGGGGCACCCTTGAAGGCTGATAGATCCAATGGGTTTCCAGGTGACTCTCTGGGATTTTCTGACTGAAATGCTTGGTGCTTCTGTCAAAGCCCTGGATGACTTCTGAACATCAGAACGGCTTAGGCCATTGACATGATTGCCCCTGAGTACTCTCTCTCACTTTGTGGAGCCTGCTTGCTTCTCTGGTATATTCCAGAGCTTAGGTTAAGGAAACAAGCTGGGAGATAGGTTGAACGCGAGTAGAGGAAAACTCTAGTCAAATGCAATTGAACACGGTGAGGGCTCATCATCAAGCCTACCTAGTGGCAATGAAGGCATACTTTGCTGCCTCCATTGCATCCTCACTGTGCTGCCCAGCAGAACTTCTATTGGGAGTGTGAGGCCTTCAACAGTTTGGCCCAAGGAGGTGGCGGAACCGACAGTAGCTCGTTGTGGCTTGTTTGCAAAGCATTGTGAGGATAAAATTGCGTGCATCTGCGAGAATCTAGACTCTGCTATTACAGTAGATGAATCTCAAGAGATGTCCAGGCTGTGGACCACTAGTGGCTCCCAACCCACCATTTTCCGTTTCATGTTGCATTATGGATTTAGGGATTTTTTCCAAAAGAAAAGAGAAAAAATAACCAGTGGTATTCTAATAGAATTGTCATTGATTGGTAGTTTCATATAGTGCCTCCTAAGACATCAACAAAAGTTAAGAGTTATACCATTCCTCAGAAATTGCATTTCTGAAAAGAAACTTGCTAAGGTTTGACTTTTTGGAAGTCACATTGAAGTTCTATCAGATTTTGGGGAAATGTCATTTGAGCTTTAAGGTCATCTTGAAGATACAGTTTTTCTCTTCTTCTAACAATATTCTACACGGCTATTCCAATTCCTAAATAAATTCCACTGTGTTTAACAGGCTTATTCCCAGGAAATTGGGTGTGGGATTGCATCCCTGGAATATAAATCCAATGGGCAAAATTGACTTTTGGTCCAATTATTCTCAGCAGGAGAGAGAAGGGCTACAATCCTATGCACTAGGCCTGGGAAATAATTTTCCACATACCCTCCTGAGCAAGCTTCCTACAGCCACATGCCAAAGTGGTGTGTGAGCCAGCTGAAAGACTAGGCAGAGCAAAAAATGTGAATGTTACTTTTTCCAGTAGGCTAGTTTCTATACACAGTCACGTACCGCTCTCTATCATCTGACCAGGTTTGCAAGAGGCATTGACAGAAATAGTGAATGGTGTGGCCTGGGGAGAGTGGCTGAAGAACTGGTGCAGCCTGGTGGAAATCCCAAGGGCTAAATAAAGAGGCCTGGATGGGCACATATGACCCCACACCTGAGGTTCTTCTATCCCTGTCAGTGGACTCGATGTGGCTTATATTGGAGCAAACATGTAGAATTGCACCACAAAGCTCTTCCATTGAAATCAATGGGACATATAACTCCTAGATCATACCTGCATTTTCTCCTACCATATAAATAGAAAAAAAGAAAATATAGCACCCAGACACCCCCCCCATTTCTATGCCAGTTCAGGGTATCCTTGTATTTTATAAGATCAGAAATACCTTTTAACTTTTCTGCAGCAATAACAGGTTTGTTTCTTTGTGTGTGTATGTGTATTTCACACCCCACTTTCTGCCATTGGTGAGTGGTGCCCAAAGGGACTGGGAGGGAGGGCAGAAGACAGATCCAGATCCAGAGCCAATGACAGGTGGAGTCAACTAATTCTCGTTTTGTCCCCATCCTCCTCCCCTTTGAGTTCTACCAGGATAACACTATGAAGCTGGAAGCCAGGGTCAACCCTTGTCTGGTTGCAAAGAAGAAGGCAGGCAAGGGCAGGCTGGCTAAGGGCAGATTGATGTTGATGGGGCAGTGCCCTGTTTGTCTTAGTGGACCAGCCTCCACTGTTCTCTGCATAATAGCCACCAAATGTTCCATAGTCCCTTCAAGAGGGACTGAATTTGGCACATCTCAAATGACAGGCCCTCAGTATACATATACTTTATTTAGAACAATTAAAGTCATTTTTCATCTTCTGTCCTGAACAAAGAGTACCTCCAGTTTTCACCAGTGTACTTGAAGGCTCCAAAAACATTGTTTTCAGGAAAGTCAGATACATCCACATATCTGAAGTCATTGACCTGTACTCCTATTGTATTCCCCTTCTTCAATTCTGCCAGTAAAGTTACAAAGAGGTCTTGTCTTTTGTCTCTGAAAGTTTTCTGAGAGCTGCACAAAGTGAGCAAAGTTGACCTTGCCACAGATGTGTTCACAAGAATCTCCAACTTTATGGTGATTTCCCCACCTTTGCACTCGGCAATGTAAAAGTGCAAATGACAATAGATGAAGTACATTCCAGGTGTCTGGATCACCAGCCTTCCATGGTTGTAGTGAATGTTGTACAGGATGCCCTCATTAATCCATCGCAGTTCTGACTGGTTGATTGGCCTAAGCACTAAAGAAAGGAGAGGATGAGATATAAGCATTCATCATTTAAAATGGGTGGGAAGCCAATTTCAGCCAGACGGTCACATTATCTTCTGGGACAACTGTGTCAGAGGTGGGCGGGGCCCAGGACAAAAGTGAGAGGCCCGGCAAATGCAATTTTTGCCTTTGTACTGTTTTCTACATGCACTCACATACTCCTCTCTATCCTCCATCTAAGCAAGCAAGAAACATTATTACAGCTCAAGGACATATTCCACTCAGGGGGGTGGGGAACACTCAATGAAGCAGAGCCAGTGAGTGGCGTGGCCTGGGGGAGGGAGTGTGGTGTGGTGAGTCCCAAGGGCCAGATAACTTAGAGGGTAACATTTGGTTCCAGGGTTTCCCACCCATGATTTATCCAATCCATTGCTGTAATACGAGAGGCCCTATCAAGATTGGCATATTGTCAGCTCTTGACAAGATACCTGTTTAGTGAAACATTCCCCTGAACTTGAACTTCCTGTTATAATTGTTTTAATTGCTTTACTAAAAAAGTTTTAAATTGTTATGTCTTTCAACCATATTGTAACTTGTTTTATTGCACATTTTAATCATGGATGGTTTTTGAATGCTTTAATGAAATTGTTTTATTGTGGATTTTAATTCTGTGTGCATATTACAATTGATTACATACTTGTAAACTGCCTATAAGCCATTTTTGCCGGTAAGCAGTACAGTGGTACCTCGGGTTACAGACGCTTCAGGTTACAGACGCTTCAGGTTACAGACTCCGCTAACCCAGAAATAGTACCTCGGGTCATAGCTGTCAACCTTCCCTTTTTTTGTGGGAAATTCCCTTATTCCAGCGCCATTTCCCACTGCTATCCTGGATTGTTAGATATCCTGTAGACTGTCCCCGGGACAGGTGAGACTGCTGATCCCTTATTTTCAAATCTGAAAGTTGACAGCTATGCCTCGGGTTAAGAACTTTACCTCAGGTTGAGAACAGAAATCGTGCGGCGGCAGCAGGAGGCCCCATTAGCTAAAGTGGTGCCTCAGGTTAAGAACAGTTTCAGGTTAAGAACGGACCTCCGGAACAAATTAAGTTCTTAACCCAAGGTACCACTGTATAGCTATTAATCACAATAATACAAAAGGATAGCAATTAAATGTATTGGCGTAGAGACAACTTTAAAGAATGCAAAAACTACAGTAGGTATGGATCTTATATGTAAACAGTTAATTATATATCTCTTGGTGGTCACTTGATTAATAATTGCTTAGGGCTGGAAAGATGTGTCATGTTATACTTTAGACTGACTCAAGAAAATTATATCCAATGCTCAGGGAAATTGACCTGTTGTCTTTATGTGGTTAGGGATAGCACTGATCTTTCTGATTTCACTTCTATTTGAGGGTTAATGATTAATTATGTGGGGCTGCCTCTGAAGATGGTTCAGAAGCTCCAGCTGGTGCAGAATTCGACAGCCAGGCTGCTCACTGGGACAAGACGGTTTGAGCATATTATTACACTGATCCTGGGCTGACTGCACTGGCTGCCAATTAGCATATAGGCCCAGTTCAAAGTGCTGGTTTTGACCTATAAAGCCTTAAATGGCTCAGGACCACAATACCTCAAGGACTGCCTCTCCCCATTTAACCGTCATGGTCTCTGCCTTCATCCTCTGAGGCCCTTTTTTGTGTGCCTCCTCCATGTGAGGTCCGGAGCGTGGCAACACAAGAACTCCCTGCTTGTGGAATGCTCTCCACAGGGAGACACCTTCATTATATATTTTTAGATGCCAGGCAAAAACATTCCTCTTTCGCCTTCAGCTGATTAATATTCCATAGCCTTTTAAATGTGTCTGTGGGAAGGGGGGGGGGGTAAAGTGTAGGTGGGTTCCCACGAGGCAAGACACAGTGATAACAGCAAGAACCTTTACTGAACTACGTAACTGGGAAACAGAGCCAAAGCAACTACTTATATAAATTTCTGAAAGCCTGGGCCACTCCCACTCCCAACATGATTGGCTGTCTATACTTCCAAACTGGAAATCATGACTCAGAGTTCAAGGGCCAATGGCAGAGGCTAAAATCCTTAAAAGTTCTGTGATTGGACAACATGTATCGAATCAGAACACAGGAGCTCAGAATCCTTAGTCCAGACTCCAGACTCAAGCTCAGGCAAACACAGACCACTGAATACATAACACCAGGGTTATTGTTTTGCTGTTTTGTTTTAATTATTTACTTGTGTTTTTATCCTATATATTATTCTGTGAACTGCACTGAGATCTTATGATGAAGGGTGGTATATAAATCTAATGAACAATAAATAATAATAAAAACTACGACAACACAATTACATGGGAGTAATTTACAAACAGGCAATATCCTTTTCTTTTCTTTTCTTTTCTTTTCTTGTTCAATGTAAATCCCATTTATTACTTTTACACCCCATTTATAACTTTATAACTATATTCATTCTATTTACTCCTACTATTTGAGTTTTGGATTTTATCATCAAAAGCTCCTTGTACTGAATTCATACAATTTTTGGTTTGTCTTTTTCCATTTGTACTGTCTGCTTTATTGTTTAATAAAATAATAATAATCCATCAATAATTTTATTTATAAAAAGCTGGGTACCAGGGTTGGTGCCAGGATTTTGGGGGCCCTGGGGCAAGCAGTCACCAGTGGGTCACACTACCCAGTGTTTCCATCACCTCTGCATCACTGACCACACATTGGCTTTCCTTCTGTCCCTACTCTGTCCACCTCCCAGAGGAAAAGTCAAGGACTCTGGCAGTGAACTGCTCCTTCTTCTCCCACTGCTCATTTGCTCAGAAATAATAGGTATTCAATAGTGATAAGAAGATGCAGTAGGGCCAGATGGCTCCAGATACTGCACATGTACCTCCTGCTGGGGCATGCACCGTGCCATGAGCTCAATAATGTTGACCACCCAAAAGGATTTTCACTTTTTTACTTCTTTGTTCTTCTGTGGCTTTGCATCATCCTCAGTTCCTGTCCTGAATTCTTGTTTAAAATAGAGAGTTTCTTTAATTTTTTTTATAATGTGCTCTGAAACTTTCCATTCATTTGTCCGCCCCCCCATGCTACCAATGCTCATTAATAAGAAACTGAGAAACCTAACAGCCAAATCTAATCTTCATTTGATTGTATGATAAAATGCAACATACTTCTGTTTTTGTGGCATTGTGTGGATTCTGTTTGTGTTGCATTTTACTAATGGGAACACACACATTTCTGCCCGTGCAAAAATGTTAATACAACCTCACGTTGCCCTTAAGTAGGCAATAGTGTACCACCTTCTCAAAAGGTGGTCATTGGATCTGGAAATATTAGATCAGGTATCTTCAACCTTCTCAGGCCCAGGACCACTTTAAACTCAAACATGTATTTGGGGACCCATTTCTTATATATTTGCATTGTATTGGTGCTCCTATTGCAACCCACATTGGATCAGGCCACGACCCAGTAGTGGATCCTGAGTCCTGACCCAGCGGTTGAAGACCAGATAACTATTGCCCAGTCACTAATATCCCTTTTTAGGTCAAGTGCTCTAGAATTTGGAAACAGTTCAATTTCAGGTATGCTTGAAGGACACAGATCATCTAGATTCATTTCAAGCAAACTTCAGACTCAGGTGGGAAGAACAAGCCTTTTAGTTTCAGCTCCTCTCAGAAACTATCACTGTCAAATTCACTAATTCTGTGTTGTTGTTGTTATTTTATTTTATTTTATTGCAATTGCACCAAGAAGCACAAATAGATGTTGGTATATATTCAAAGAACCAGGTACTGAAAAGTCTTGAAGCAGGGTAGAGATTGAGAACCTGTAACCCTCCAGATGTAGTTTAACTATAACCCCCATCATCCTTGGCCATTGGACATAGTGGCAGAGGCTGATGGGAGTCCAATAGCAGCTGGAGGGCTACAGGTTCCCCATCCCTGAATTAGGAACTCCAGCAAACGGGGTTTGGTGCCTGACCTTCTGCTACATCACCAGCAGAAACAGGTATGTTAGGATCTGTGAATTAAGCACCCACTTCCGAGCTTGAATCTAGTCAGCAGAGTCAATGTGAACACTCCACCAAGTCAATGTGGACACACCAGGCCATATACAGCAGAAGTAGAGAACTTCTGGCTCTCCATATGTTGTTGGACTCCAACTCTCAACAGCCTCAATGGACATGTCCAGTGGCCAGGAATGATGGGTCTTAGGAGTCCAGCAGCATTTGGAGGTTGACAGATTCCTCATCCCTGATATAATAAAGCCTTCAGTTGTGTTCAGCTAAGTCATACTCAAAGTATAGACCCACTGAAATGAATGGGCATGGCTATCTGAAGCCTATTCATTTCAGTGGGTCTGCTCTGAGTAGAATTCAGTTGACGATGACCCTTCAGATCCAAAATCTTCTCAATTGCAACCTGTTTTAGAATTTAGTTAAGAAAACATGCTAGGAGCAAAATCTGTAAGTAACCGACTCAACATAAAGCATGTTCCTCCTGAAGATGTAATCCCAGAGGAACTTCTTTGTGTATCAGAAACTTCAGTTACATCAGTAACTGTGTATGACTATTGCATAGGACTGAGTCAAATCCTGTCATGCAGCACATCTGCAGGTGGTGGCACACACTTCTGCAGTCCCAGCAGCAGCATAGGAGAAAGCTGAAGGAAATTAGTCATTGAATAGTTTCTAGTTTTGGCTCCTCATTTGACCTTCCTGCTCTTACGTCTGGTTCAGTTTCGCCCTTATGGCTGCTTTCAGCTGAGCTCTGAGAATGCAAGTGGATGTGGATTGAGATCATCCAGTTGATGCAACCATTTGTTGCATGACCAGCTGAGGACATTGTGGTGAGATAGAAGCTCATCAATCAAAAGGCTTTCAAGGCAATCTGAAACCTCCAACTGTGCCAAACTAATCAGTAGATTACTTTGCCTCACCCAGAGCAGAAGAGCAGAAGGCCCTTCATCAGGGCTAGATTAACTATTAAGCAAAGTAAGCAGTGTTTAAGGCATCAAGGGAAGGGGGGCACCACAAACATTTCCCATTGCCAGATTTTTAACATTAATTGGCAGAAATTGCTCAGTGAGCTTTCATTTTCTTGGTTGAAGTATATTAAAAACCACAACAGAACAACCAACAACTATGCAACAAGGCAAGCTGGATGCCTTATCTCTACTAAATATAGAAGCAGATGTTCTGGGAAATGATATATAATTAGCTGGGGGGGGGAATGTTCAATATAACTTTTTTTAAGAAACCAGAAGCTTTTCTTTTAGGAATACTTGGTGACCCTTGGGGTGTTCCTTCCAACTCTACCATTATATAATTCTACTATTATTATTAGTTAAGCGTGTTAGATGCCTACTATAAAAAATTGTCTCAAGGTGACAAGAAGATAGTTGTTGGAAATCCTGCAGTAGAATGGCCTAATGAGGACTCTTGGTTTCTCCCTATTACCCATGAAGCTTTTTAAGCCAAGTCACATGCACCTGTCATCAGTTTAGTGCAAATTTCTCCAACAGATACATTTGCCAACATCATAATTCTTTACTTCATGTGCTGTGGTGTTGAAGTTAGAGTGATGGACTAGGACCTGGGAGACCAGGTTTCAAATCCCCACTTGGCAATGAAGTTCACTGGGTCGTCATCTCTTAGCCTACTTCACAGGGCTCTTGTGGAGGAGGGAAAGAACCATGTATGCCACCTTGAGCTCCTTGGGGGGGGGGAGTGGGCTAGAAATGCAACACACTGAAGCACAAAAGCGCCTGATTGTTGAGCTTGGTGACATCTGGAGATGGTATGGGTGTTTTGTTCCTCTGTAACCAATTCCTTCCCTCTCTACAACACTCCCAAAGGTTAAGTAGACTTCAATAAGAAAGATGTGTTGAACAATAAAGTTCTTATTATATAGTTCTGTTATGTACTAAGTTGAATAGGATCCAAAATGCAGCAGTCTGATTGGTCCTAGTACAATAGGATTCAGAATGCAGCAGCCTGATTGGTCCTAGAACAATAGGCTCCAGAATGCAGCAGCCTGATTGGTCCACAGGAGCCACCCAATCCAGCTCCAGGTGGAAGTGAATCCGCGACCTGATTGGCTCACAGGAGAATCCTGGAATTAGCCAATCACGTGCAGGCCATTGTGTAAATAATGTATATAAAGCAGACATTCTGGGGAAACTTCCATTCCTCCTCACCACCATGAGCTGAATAAAGAGCATGAAATCCACTCTCGACTCTGAATATATTTTACTGGCGACGAGGATGGGAGCTAAGCTCAACACATGTAAGGTATCTGAATTCTACTTTCCCCGCAGGGGTGGTGGAGGAGAATAATTCACAAGCCTACTGCTCATTTACATTTAACCATTGCTTGTTGAAGACATGCTTACTGTGACATGCACACTGGGCAATATGCAGGGGAAGCGTGTCCCTTTTCTCAGCGGGAAAATGCCACCCTGCCCCTGCCCCCTGGCTGTAATGTAGCCTTCCTTACCTGGGTAGTGTAGTGGTGCCCACAAAGTAGTGGGGGCAGGTTCCACATGAGATCTTGCAAGATGTCAATGAAATCTCACAAGATTTCACTGGAAACATCCCTGCTTCTCTGTCACTGCCAGAGGTAGCAAGGCAGGCAAGGTGCCCACAGGGACACCACCTCTCAAGCTTCTACCACTGGTGACAACTGCCTCAGCCTGTCTCATGGGCAGGTCTGCCTGCCAATATGTGTAGACTGGCATGGAGATAAGCTACAAATTTCCTGATTGGTTTTTTTATATATATGTGATACAAGGTGTAGGGCAGGCAAAGACAGCGAGGCAGTCACCTCAGGCAGCATGCTGGGAACAGCTGGCAGGGGCAGCAGGTCTGGGGCCCCAAGAGCACATCTCTCACCGCCTCCTGTGCTTGTTGCTTGCTGTCATCACCACCTTGCTTCCTGCTCCAGCCCTACCCACTGTTTGCTCCTCTCTGGCTGCCTTTTTTCTCCCCTGCTTCCTTCAGAAATCAGAGGCTCCCCTGGACTGCCTCTGGTTGCCTCAGGTGGAGGATGTGGCAATGGTGGGGGAAGGGTGGACCATTTTCTGCTTTGCCTCAAGCAACAACACATCATGGGCTGGCCCTGGCCAAAGATGCCATAAGGCCAAGTGAGTGTTTGTGGTGTAGAAGAAGAAGAAGAAGAGTTTGGATTTGATATCCCGCTTTATCACTACCCGAAGGAGTCTCAAAGCGGCTAACATTCTCCTTTCCCTTCCTCCCCCACAACAGACACCCTGTGAGGTGAGTGGGGCTGAGAGACTTCAGAGAAGTGTGACTGGCCCAAGGTCACCCAGCAGCTGCATGTGGAGGAGCGGAGACGCGAACCCGGTTCCCCAGATTGCAAGACTACCACTCTTAACCACTACACCACACTGGCACTGTAGGGGGCTTCTATTCTTCCCACCCCTAATCTGGATTGAGTCTCAATCCCAGCTATGCCTGGGAAATTCTGAATAATAATAATAATAATAATAATAATAATAATAATAATAATTTATTTATACCCCACCCATCTGGCTGAGTTTCCCCAGCCACTCTGGGCAGTGTTAAATACACTACAGCATTAAATATTAAAAACTTCCCTAAACAGGGCTGCCTTCAGATGTCTTTTAAAGATGATAGCTGCTTATTTCCTTCACATCTGAAGGGAGGGTGTTCCACAGGGCAGCGCCACTACCGAGAAGGCCCTCTGTCTGGTTCCCTGTAGCCTCACTTCTTGCAATGAGGGCACTGCCAGAAGGCCTTCTCAGTATAAGGAACTATGGGGGTGGAGACGCTCCTTCAGGTATACAGGACCGAGGCCGTTTAGGATGTATGGCAGCCCTAATGTTAACTATAAAAACTTTATGGCAGGGATGGGGAACCTTTGGTCTTCTGGATGCTATTGGAGTGCAACTCCCATCAGCCCCCAAAGGGCATGGTTAAGAGTCAAGAATGACAAGGCCAATATCTTGTTAGGACCAACGCTTCCCCATTCTTGCTCTATGGAAACACGAGCAAGGAAAATTATCCCAGTTGTAACCACCAGATCCTTATTTCTGGTTGCCTGCTGCAGCCAGGACAGAAGCAGAATGTATGGAGATTTGTTTTCCTTCTATTGTCACCATGGCTGACACAGTTTGAGTCTAATTTTGTAGGGAATGAGAGGGACTGAATCCTTGTCATACCCAGCACTCACCTGATACCAGACATGGAGTCCTTAGAGCAGGGCTTTGGCCCTCCAGATGTTGCTGAACTACAACTCCCATCAGCCCCAGCAAACATGGCCAATAACTAAGGATGATGGGAGTTGTAGTTCAGCAACACCTTCCTTAGAGGATAAATCAGGTGCTCCAAGGACCCTGAGGACCTGACAGGTTTCCTTGGAGCCAGGGCTGAGGGGCCCTCTGGGAGAGACCTGCTAAAGAACCCTTGGACTGTCAGAGGAAGTGCAGTCATCACAACTCCAGACATGAAGAACACCAGTGCCAAAAGGTCTGCTAAGACAGCTGACATGGCATGTGGCTGCAGACCCAGAGTCATCATGTGGCATGTGAGTAGTGTTGGATGTAAACCATTGGTACAGTCAAATGCAACATTCCTTATTCCCCTAGAGTGGGCACAGGCAGGGGGACATCCAGTCAGTGTAACTTCCTGTTCCACTGGTCTGGAGTTTCCTCCCCCTGCATGTGATCTGGGAGATGGGCATGGCTCTGGCTGACTCCATAAAAGAAGTCATACACCCATTTTGTCAGTCTTGAAGTTGTCTTATTCCAGGGTTGTCTTGTTCTCTCTTTTTGCTGTCATGCTACTCTCCTCTAGCCATTTTGTTCTATTAATATAATTTTGCTGTCTGCTGGCTCTCAGCCAGCAGCACACAAGTTCAGTCTCCATATGAGACAAACTCACTGTTTCTTTGTGTAACTATTAAGTAAAGCCTGCCTTTCAGGGATCAAATCGTGAACTGAAATGTGAGTAAACTTTTTGTTACTTTACTCAGAAAGACTCTTGTGTCTTTATTCTTTTAAGAGGGATCAATGGGGACACCAGGAAATAATCAAATCCGCAAACTAGCTTCCAGCTATATTGAGGGGAATTTGCTCTGCTACATCACTCACTAGCGTGAGTGAAGGAAGGATACTACTTAATCATTATATTCTTTCCTACAATCCTTAACATTCCCACAAGTAGAAGTAGACTGGGTCTCCTTGTGTGTAAGGGGTCCCTGAAATGCATTTATTATCAGCAGCTGTGGCTAGGGTTTGTTCTAAGAAGTCAGAGAAGGCGAGCCTTCCATTTTATGATGACAACAAAAGTCTCTGTTTCCTTGTTCCCAAGTCTATCTTGCTAAGCTGTACCTTGTTGGAATTCTTTGTGATATTGACCTTGAACTGGCCTTATCTCTAGATCATGTTTTTGACCTGGGCTGATAATCTGTGCTTGACCTTGGTTTAGACCGCACTGCATTACCAACTATGGCTTTGCAAGTGAGTGTGCCCACTTACTGTCTCCTAGGAGTGGGACCTTAGCTGCTGAAGGCATTGGCTGGAGTGCGACAAAAAATAAAGGCCCAGATAGGGGACTCAGTCTAGGTGGATAGCAAAACGAACATAGGAAGCTGGCTTATCCTGAGTTAGACTATTGGTCCATCTAGCAGAGTACTGCCTACGCTGATTGGCAATCCTATGGATCCATAGATATCTACAACATGCCTCTGGAACACCCTATTCTACGCACATGTATACAGTGGAGAGTCATGGGGTAGGTAAGAGCATTTGTGGAACTCAAAGAATATAAGGTATACAGAATGAGGCAATGAGGCTTTTTTGGTGGGAGAGGGCAACCTCTTATACTTTGATTTATAGACTATTCTCACTGACCTTGAAGATATGCAGCTGCTTTCTCAGATGCCATTGTCTGCAGACCTTTCAAAGCCTCTGCTGATATTTTCCATGGCACTGAAAAGACAAGAAGAAAACAAACAGAACCCTTGTTACTACCAGGGCCTTGCAGAGCCAGGCAGAGGCCCGGGCCAGGTAGATAATGTGCCCCCCTCTTTTTTTTACCCTGGGGATAACTGAAGTCTTATAAACAAGTAAGTACAGTGGCACCTCGGGTTAAGTACTTAATTCGTTCCAGAGGTCCGTTCTTAACCTGAAACTGTTCTTAACCCGAAGCACCACTTTAGCTAATGAGGCCTCCCGCTGCCGTCATGCCGCCGGAGCACGATTTCTGTTCTCATCCTGAAGCAAAGTTCTTAACCGGAAGCACTATTTCTGGGTTAGCGGAGTCTGTAACCTGAAGCATATGTAACCCGAGGTACCACTGTATATAAATAATTTTGTGAATATGCTGACTGAGGCCCCCTTTGGAATCAAAGGCCCGGGCCAAGTGGCCCATATGGTCCTCCCTCTATCTGGGCCTGGTTACTACTGCTCTTTCTTTAAACAAAAATGATGCTCCAAGGTGACTTAGAATCCCTACTAAGGACCACAGAAAGGTGCCAAAGTTGTGGGATTCAAATATTGGTGTTTTTTGGAATTATTATCCGATGGCCAGGAAGCAGGTGTGGGAGAAAAGTACTGGTAGTTTGGTTTTTTTAAAAAAACAACAACAACATTTCTTTATTAATGCGTTGAATCAGATCATGTGAGTTTATGGGTGGGATAATGAACTTTCAGTGTGCTTAATTCACCAAGAATCACCTAGAGACACCATCTCAAATTATAAACAGTGATTCAGCTTTTTGAGTTCCATCACTAAGGAAGAATTTCACAACTTAAGAACATTACTGTATTGGCTTGATAAGGATCAGAGCCTGATGCTGAGGCTTGATTGGTGTTATTAATTATGACTTTACACTGTTGTTGTTGTTTAGTCGTTTAGTCATGTCCGACTCTTCGTGACCCCATGGACCAGAGCATGCCAGGCACTTCTGTCTTCCACTGCCTCCCACAGTCAAGTTCATGCTAGTAGCTTCGAGAACACTATCCAACCATGTCGTCCTCTGTCGTCCCCTTCTCCTTATGCCCTGCATCTTTCCCAACATCAGGGTCTTTCCCAGGGAGTCTTCTCTTCTCATGAGGTGGCCAAAGTATTGGAGCCTCAGCTTCAGGATCTGTCCTTCCAGTGAGCACTCAGGGCTGATTTCCTTAAGAATGGATAGATCTGACATTCTTGCAGTCCATGAGAATCTCAAGAGTCTCCTCCAGCACCATAATTCAAAAGCATCAATTCTTCTGCAATCAGCCTTCTTTATGGTCCAGCTCTCACTTTACACTAGATGGATGCAGGATTCTTAGAAACAGGTTGTGTGCATCTAACACATTTCTCATATGTGATAGAACAGAGCCTTCTACTGGCTTTAGGTGGAAATTTCATGCCTGAACTCAGCTGGGACAACAAATATGTTATTAATACTTCTCTAGGTTCTTTCACTTGATTAAACATGTTTTTCAGTTATTGCCTGGCATTCTGAATGGTTTATGTATCACAACGCTTAACAAACAGCACTGTAACTACAAGATCTAAGCAAAGACTTCTACGGGTACAAGGTGTAGAATGGAGGTAGCCCACATGGTACCCTCCAGATTTTTTTTGGACTCAAAGTCACATCAGCTGTAGTCAGCAGGGCTAATGGAAGTTGGAACCTAGCAACCTTAGAGCACTGGTGAGGAATCTCCTACCAGCAGATCTAAGTAGATGAGACACAGGTTCCAATTTAGCCTATCAGTGTGATATGTGGAACACATTCTATGGCTGTGTACCCACATACCAATCCAACTCAGAGTCCACCTTGGATCCAGGCTCCAAATTGATTTGGGGGCCTATTTTAATGTTGTCAGAAAGGTGGTAACAGGGGAAGAAGAAAAACTGCACTCAATCCTTCTGGATGCTGCCTTGCCAACATGTTCCCTAGGGAAATTGCACTGGTCAAGGAGCCCATGCAGAAAGCAGGCGTTAATGTTCTGCTCATTGGCTGCTTGTTGTTTCACCACTTGTGCTCCTCGCAGGGAAGGGTTGGTGAAGGAGGCTGTGCAGAGGTTGCCTGCCCTGTCTTTTGACAGCACCGGATTGCTCTAGGTGAGTCAATTTGGCATGGGACAACCAAATCCAGCCAAAGCTGATTTTGTTCAGAATTTGGGTTTCATCAGAATCAGGGCATAGCCCTAGTACAGTGATGGTGAACCTTTTAGAGACCAAGTGCCCAAACTGCAACCCAAAACCCACTTATTTATTGCAAAGTGCCAATGGGGCAATTTAACCTGTATATCCCATTTTTTTCTGTGTGTTTCACGTTTCTTCTTTATGACTGCTGTTGTAATAAATAATCATTCATATTTGGTTCAAATTGGGAAAAATAAATACTGTACAGTGGTACCTCAGTTTTCGATTAGCTTAGTTCGACATCTGGTAACCTTAGCATAACAGGATTTAACCCCTTCACTTATCAGCCAATGAATGGGACTTTAATCCTGCTCAGTTTGGTAGGGTTCCACATCAAATCAGGAAGGGATTTGTATCAGAATCCTTTGCTAAAACTGAGAGGAGAAGGGAAAGCTTCCTTTTAGCAACACCTTGTAAGGTGCATTTCCAAAGTACATTGCAGCTGGCATTGTATCATGACTTCAGATGATTGACAACTGGGAGGTCCCTCAAGGCTGATCCTGATAATGATCTGACCTGTTGAACCAAGAAGCTTGTCTACCCTAGGACTAAATGGATGGGCCATCTTTCTGGATCAGTAGAAAATACCGTAGATTTCAATATTCAGTCAAGGGTAAATGAATGAAACACAGCGCTGACTGCACAAAAGCAGAGCTTTGCCTCTCTAGGATGATTGATTCTGTGACACTTCCTCTTTGCTCACACTATGTCACTGAATACAAGCATGATACCCCTTCAATTATCTATCCATGCATTAATCTCAATTAAATCCTAGTGGGCTGTTTCCATTTCAGCCCTTGATGATTGATAGCTGAGTAATGTGTGTGTGTGTGTGTGTGTGCGCACACAAAGTCACATTTGAGTACCTCTAGGTATTTAGCTAACGGTATCCTGTTCTCTGCCAAAAGAAATGTGGGATGAAGATTTATTAGGTGGTTTTAATAGCTCTGAATCAACTCAGCAAGGCAGTTTGGCCTTGAGAGTCTTGTAGATAATCTGCTCATTTCCAGACAGGAGCTTCCTTTATCTTGCCAACAAAATATCCTTGCATTAAGATTGGATACTTTGCTCTTTTAATGGGTATATTGACTACTCGTGAACTCATTAACCCCCAACCATCTTATATTCTAATTCTATGGAGGCAAAATGGAAACAGCCAGATGCACTGGACTAGGAGAACTACCATTCTTGTTGCCCTGTGTACTGTGCCCATGTACTAGCACTGGTGTAATGTATTGGTTAGTATGTTGGCCTTGGGAAACCAGGGTTTAAATCCCCACTCGGCCATGAAACTCACTGGGTGACTTTGGGCCAGTCACAGTCCCTCAGTCTAATCCACCTCACAGGACTGTTGCAAGGATTTTGCATCTCTCTTGTGGGGAGTGTGGCACATGCTGCAAAGGAAGGAATCAATCTGATGAAATGATATCAGCATGTAGAATAGGGGAGCTTCAGGCTTGGGTGCAAGGGAGAAAATGTGATCCACTAGGCTTCTCTATCTGGTCCTTGGTGCTCTCTCTCCAGGCCACACATACCCTCCTGAACCACAACCCTCACTGGTTCTGCTTTGCAAGCTCCTGGAGTGTTTTTGCCTATCATGGAACTCTGTTGATGCCTCTTGCTTTCCTGGATGGAGAATAGACAGGGCAATATGAGTGTTTGTGTAGGGCAATATGAGTGTTTGTGTAGAAACCAGGTCAATGTACAAAGGTAGAACTTTGTACTTGTTGTTCTGATCACTTTTGCCTCTGACCTCCACCCATCAATGGCATGTGGCCCTCAGGAGGTTGATCAGAAGGGTATGTATCCATCAGTCTGGAAAATGTCCCCCATGGTGATGTAGAATAGGTCCATCTTTGCCCAAACAATGAAGATTGTGCAATGCAGCTGACAAAGGCAAGGTGAAAATTATAGGATTCACATCCGGCATACAGAAACCTCTGTTTTCTAGCACTGAAACCACTTCATCCTGTCACTGGTACTAGTTCAAGTAGGCACCATGGGTGAATAGCTCTTGTGTCTAAGAAACTGGCCAGTTGCCTACCTTGGATGAGTTTGCTTTCTCCTTTAAGGAGCAGGTTCACAGTTTGGGGTGCTTTTGGATCCAGCTGTGTCACTGGAAGCTCAGGTAGCCTCAGTGTATGGAAGTACAGTGGTACCTCGGGTTAAGAACTTAATTCATTCTGGAGGTCCGTTCTTAACCTGAAACTGTTCTTAACCTGAGGTACCACTTTAGATAATGGGGCCTCCCACTGCCACCATGCCACCAGAGCACGATTTCTGTTCTCACCCTGAAGCAAAGTTCTTAACCCAAGGTACTATTTCTGGGTTAGCAGAGTCTGTGACCTGAAGCACCTGTAACCTGAAGTGTTTGTAACCTGAGGTACCACTGTACCTTTTACCAAGTGCTGCTGTTTTGACAGCAACAGCCATTCCTGGACTGGGGAAGCCTTGCCATAATAGTTCATGCACTGATTACTTCAAAACTGGATTACTGCAATGTGTTCTATGTGGGACTTCCCTCACATTTGATCTGGAAGCTGCAGTTAGTGCAAAATGCTGCGGGACAATCACTGTCAGGAGTGAGGCAAATAACACCTGTGCTCTACACTGGTTACTGATTTGCTACTAGGCCAAGTACGTATATAAAGCCCTTAGCGACTTGGGACCAGTTTACATTGTTTTGCGTGACTCAGCAAACCCACCTGGCAGGTGTGACTGTGCCTGCTTTCAGTGCCCCCCTCCCCACCACCAAGGAATTATCAGCTCAAGCAACAACTGGCTCAAATCCAACATTTTCACACCATCCATGCCAAAAATATTCACTTGTAATTTATCTCATTCATATCATCTTACCACATTTCTCTCTTCCTTGGTGTCCATCGTACTCGGCCGTAGATCCCTTCAAAGAGACAAAAAGTCAAGAGAAAGTTACATCTATGATGTCCTAGACATATTGTTTTTTGTGTGTTCCTTGCTTTCATTATCGTAGATTACATTTAAATGAACTTTGACTCATAATAGTCTTTATTTTAAATCAGAGGTGGCTAAACTGCACCCCATATGTTAAGACACAAAATCCATCACCCCTAAGAAGCGTCCCAGGCTTTGGGAAGGAGGCGCCAGGGGAACATTTATGGGACTAGCCTAGTCTCAATAGTCCATAATACCATATTTTTCAAATAACATTATACTATTTTGGGAAATTGTGGTAATGAGTATCCAGCTGTTTCATTGATAAAATTGCAAACTGTGCCCCATCAAACCTGGACCATTGGACAATGCCAAAATGTTGTTAAAAAGTCAATGGTGTTTTGAAACCCCACATTCTCAAAATGAGATGGAGCATCCTTAGGTGATGTGAGACACCAACGATGGGGCATGAAGTTTCAGGGGTGGTAACATCCAGATTTGGATTATTGCAATGCACTCTGCATGGCACTGCCCTTGAAGTTGACTTAGAAACTTCAGTTGGCCTAAAATGCAGCAGCCAGATTACTGGGTTCCATTTAAATCTCACATAACTCCCTTTTTTAAAAAAACAGCAGCACTGGTTGCTAGTTCATTTCTGGGCCCATTTAAAGCTGCTTATCTTAGCATTTTAAGACCTAAATGGCACAGACCCCAAATACCTGAAAGACCACGTCCTTCTCTACAAGCCTCCCTGGGTATTAAAATAAACAGTCTTTATAGATCTTGGCCAGGGGTAGGCAGATGCGGTTCAATCACCTTCTCAATCTGGCCCACGAACAGTCCGGGAATCAGCGTATTTTTACATGAGTAGAATGTGTCCATTTATTTAAAATGCATCTCTGGGTTATTTGTGGGGCCTGCCTGGTGTTTTTACATGAGTAGAATGTGTGCTTTTATTTAAAATGCGTCTCTGAGTTATTTGTGGGGCACAGGAATTTGTTCTCCCCCCCCCTTCAAAATATAGTTCGGCCCACCACATGGTCTGAGGGACGGTGGACCAGCCCACGGCTGAGAAAGGTTGCTGACCCCTGATCTTGGCAGTGCTCCCCCCCCGGGGGGGACACAGGAGTACGCATACCCCTAAACATTTTGTGAATCTTTGTACTTTTGTCCATTTACTGTACAGTGGTGCCCCGCAAGACGAATGCCTCGCAAGATGAAAAACCCGCTAGACGAACGGGTTTTCCGTTGCGGAGGCGCTTCGCAAGACGAATTTCCCTATGGGCTTGCTTCGCAAGACGAAAACGTCTTGCGAGTCTCGCCATTTCCCCCCCCGTTCCCCCCCCTTTTTCAAAGCCGCTAAGCCGTTAATAGCCTTTTAACAGCTTAGCCGCTAAGCCTTTAATAGCCGCTAAATCGCTAATAGCGCTAATCCGCTTAGCCGCTAATGGGGTTGCTTCGCAAGACGAAAAAACCGCTAGACGAAGAGAATCACGGAACGGATTCTTTTCGTCTTGCGAGGCACCACTGTATTTGTTTTCCCCAAGTATAAAATGGTGATTTTCTTGAGTAAAAATTAGAGTACCCCTAAACATTTTTTTAAAGAAAAAAACCACTGGATCTTGGCAATTCCTTCACCCTAAGAAGCTTGGGAGAGGGCATTCTCTATGGCAGGCAAGTGCCCTAAATGTGAATTTGGCATCTTCATTACAGTGGTATCTCTGGTTAAGAACTTAATTCGTTCTGGAGATCCGTTCTTAACCTGAAACCGTTCTTAACCTGAGGTACCACTTTAGCTAATGGGGCCTCCTGCTGCTGCTGCGCCATCGGCGCACGATTTTTGTTCTCATCCTGAGGTACTACTTCCAGGTTAGTGGAGTCGGTAACCCAAAGTGTTTGTAATTTGAGGTGTTTGTAACCTGAGGTACCACTGTATATAAAGGTAAAGGGACCCCTGACCATTAGGTCCAGTCGTGGCCGACTCTGGGGTTGCGGCGCTCATCTTGCTTTATTGGCCGAGGGGCCAGTGTACAGCTTCCGGGTCATGTGGTCAGCATAACTAAGCCGCTTCTGGCGAACCAGAGCAGCGCACAGAAACACTATTTACCTTCCCGCCGGAGCAGTACCTATTTACCGGTATCTACTTGCACTTTGATGTGCTTTCGAACTGCTAGGTTGGCAGGAACAGGGACCGAGCAACGGGAGCTCACCTGGTCGCGGGGATTTGAACCGCCGATCTTCTGACGGGCAAGCCCCAGGCTCTGTGGTTTAACCCACAGCACCACCCGTGCCCCTACCACTGTATATAGCTTTCAGTTAATGCTGAGGACAGACCTCTTTAACCTTGGTTTTGACACCTCGGATGTTTATTTTTAGGACCCCTGTTATTTCTTTGATCTTACTTTGTTTTAAACTAGTTTTGACACTGTGTTAAAAAACCTTAGGGTGAAGGGTTAGTAAATAATACTAATAATGATTACATTTGAGTTCAGAATAAACAGCAGCTGCTCCAGATATTCCCATTCATATTGCCAGCTTTGGTCGGACAAAATAAAGCACAGATCGAAAGGGATTGTGAGATGCCCACCCACTCATGATACCAAATCCTCCCCTCCCTTTATGGAGGGGTTTCCCCTGCATTCATTTGAAGCACAAAGGGACAGGGGACAGGTGATCCCATTTTTCTAGGGATGGGTGGCAATCTTAATTCCTATAAGCCCGTGCTATCAAGACCATCATAGGTAATGATCAGGGATGCTCCAGATTCAGAAGCTTGGTCTTTTGGAAAAGGAACCTATGTACAAGCCTTTGATTAATCACACCCACACCCACACACCTGTAATTTTATATCCAGGTTAAAATTAATTAAATGGTATTCACATAATGAATGCACTGTCAAAAGAGGTGGTGAAGACTGCTAACATAGGCCAGATCCACACCATACCAAGAGCATTTGATACACATTTAAATCACATGCTTCCCTCAAAGAGGCTTTTAAAAAGGGATTAGACAAATCCATGGAGGAAGAGTCTATCAATGGCTATTGGCCATGATTAACACAGTGGAACTTCCATGTTCAGAGGCAGTTTATCTGAATACCAGTTGCTGGAGGACGACAGCAAGAGAGACCTGTTGCTATCACATCCTACTTATGGGCTTCCACAGCAAGATGCTGGTCTAGATGGGCCTTTGGTGTGCTATTCTGTGATGAATCTGCCAGTATGAGTTTGGGCTAACCTACCTCACAGGGTTGTTGTGAGGTTAAAATGAGGATGGGATAGAGGACATTTTGTATGCTGCTCTGATTTCTTTGGGTGAAAGACATATAGCAATGTAATAAGCAGACTTTTTATTTTTTAAAAAAGTAATTTTGCATCTGTTTTGTTGCAATACTTGAAATAAATACTTCAAAAATATAAAAAATAACAACAGTGCCCCCTCCTAGTAAAACAATATCAGCAATCACCCAAAACCTTCTTAAACTGTGAGTTCAACGAGTTCTTAACATACTGCAGAGGCAGTAAGCTGGCTCTCTGGGCATGGCCTCAATTTTGCCAGATGGAAATTAATCTTGCCCTTCTTTCATCAAAACATAGCTCTGATCAGAAAGGTTAGTGTTTTCTCTTGGGTGCTGGTGTTGTTTCGTTCAATCCTGATATAACTGGTCACTTACAAGCTTGAGGCTGCAACAACATCTGTCTTCCTTAGAAAATCAATTTGGTGACATTATGCCAAAAATGTTATTCTAGGGAGTTGTAGTGATTGCTTGTCAGGAGTGTGGATCACTCCCTGAGGATGGCTGTCAAATGTCTTTGAGACCAATGAGATCAATAGTTGGTTTGAAGGAGGGGAAAAAGACTGCTCTTCTCACTTCTCATAGTTTTGTTTGGGTGGTATGCAGGAGCGTAGGATGCTGTCTTATAGTGAGTCAGAACATTGGTCCATCTAGTTCAATACGATCGTTGCTGACTGGCAGTGGCTCTTTCCAGGCTCAGCCCACCTGGGGACACCAGGAATTGAACTTGGATTCTTCTGCTTGCAAAGCAGATGCCCTACCACTAGGGAAGGGGGACAACTTTGATTCAGTGTACATTTAAAGCCGAATGTATAAGTTTGCACTTTCCAAAACAATTTGAGAACTGAAACACTGCCGTCCCTCAAAATGCGCACTTCTTTGAATTTTGTGATTCATTTCTCCAACCAAGCAATGTTTACAAAAATGCACATGCCAGGGGAAGGGGTGCATGAAGAATGAAAATGGCATCCCAAAATGCATTATATGAGGATAAATTGCTCACAAAATGTGTTTCTCCTAAAATACTGGAGAATGTTCATGGTGATTATTATATATAAATATCAGAAATTGTGACAGAATTGTGGAGAACCAAATTTAAGAAAAATCAGAAACTGTGAGCACCAAAATGACAGAGCTTTCCATCCTTAATTGCCATTGAGCTATGGCCCTCTCAACCTTCCCTAGAAAGATACACACACAGCTTTCTACCTGTCTGTCATTCAGTCCATCCTGGGGAACTGGATCTATCCCCTGGGTCAGATACTTAACTCCCTCAAACCCCTGAGGGACAAGCTTGATAGGTGGCTGGGTTTACCAATCTGTCAATCACCCGAGATCAAGTTACACTTTCTCCATCAGGAGTAGGGCCAGTGGATGTGACTTCACCAAAATAGCCTCACTGGCCACATGTGGAGATCTAGCAGGACTAGGACTGGTCAAATCTGTCAATACCAATTTCTCTTGATTTTTCATTTTCCTACATCACTTTGTAAAGAAAACAAATCCTCATTAAAATTCATCAGCCCTGCCTTGGGTATTATGCAGTAGGACTCTTCTTATGTTCTGTCATAGAGGCTGGGCAGTCATGCATCAAGGATGCTGTAATTGGATCTGTTGCAGGAATTTATGTATAGGTTGGGGGGGGGGTTGCCCCTCCAGCAGATATCATGCACATGCAGCCTACTACCAAAATCAGCACAATCCCTTTGTGACTTTTGTGATTTGTCCCCACAAAACACTTCATCACAGTTTCTTTCTATCTATTCAAAGGGCCTTTGCTGCATGGTACCAAATGTAAGAATTCACTGATAAATGTATCTATGTACTGGCTCACAGGGAAAACTTCAGAAATTCATATAGACATGTGAGCTCAGCTACTCAGCAGCCCCTCTGCCTGAGTGATAATCCCTGGCATCCTGATACATGAGTGCCAGACAGGTAGCCATTCCAGAAATAATAAACCCAGATGAAGACAAAAGGGTGTGATTAACTTGGCTGGGAAACAGGGAAATGTAAATATATCTTTTGTTACAATTGATGAGTGTTTAGTGGAGGGCAAGGAGAACCATGGGGCAGGGTCCAGGATGCTCAGATTACTGCCACCAGACCTCCCCTTTCATGATGTAACCGTGATGTATGAGTGATGTAGTTTGGGGGGGGTGTATAACATGGGGATTAGCAGCTAATAAAAGTTTGGGGGCTCTTTTGTTCGGGGCTTCCACCTTGTTCCACCTTGTGGCAGGTGGGAGTCCTGTCGTGACAGTCTTCAATAAAGACCAAGCCTACTGGCTGCTATTTTGCTCTGGTATTCCTGGCTGGTGTCCTTGTTTTTTGTCCAAGGGAGCCCTCAGATTTCTCCATTTACAGATCCTGCATGGAAGATCCAGCACAGACCCATGGGATTGGATTAGCTAACTTTGAAGATCCCTTGTGACTCTTTGATTGTATGGCTTTATTTAGGAAAGATATTCCATAGTGCAACCACTATGGAATATCTTTCCTAAATAAAGCCATACAATCAAAGAGTCACAAGGGACTAGGAAGGATTGTAAGCTATGGAGAGATGGGAATACGAAGGAGAGTTCTGTAGACCCAGGGTGGCTGAAGAAAGTGGTTGCTAAATGTCTAGAGTCTAGACATTAACGGGGGAATTTTCCTAGTTTTGGTTTCTATCTTTTACTGCAGCTGTACTGGCTTGGCAACGCTAAGAAGAGGACCAGCAAGCAACACCTGATTTTCGCAGCTGGATTTGCATAAACACTATCAACCAATGTAATGACCACAGGCTGCTACTTCTTGAAAGTATAGCAACATCATTTTCTTTCTGGCCTCCCCCGCTTTTGTGACGTCTGGGAAGTGAAGCACTGACGTCTACCAGATCAAAGCACAAATTCTGGGGGCTTTGTTTCTGGCATCACGGTGTCAATCCTGGTGGTTCTCACCCTCATGGATATTATTCTGGGGGCCACACACCAATGGTAAGTGGGACCAGATGCAGATGTGCATCTTAATTTGTGTGCTGTGCCTTACAAAATACTGCTTTCTGCACACACCCCTCATTCCTAGTATTCAGGAGGTAGAACTTAGCCATCAATATCCTCCTTATCCTCCATGAATTTGTCCGATCCTCTATTAAATCCATTCATGTTGGTGGTGGCCATCACCACCTCTCGTGAGATTGAAATCCATAGTTTAGCAAGGTGCTGTGAGAAGAAGTACTTTTTTTTTGTCCGTCCTGAATCTTCCAGACTTAAAACCATAGAATCATAGAATCTTAGAACTGGAAGTTACCCAAGGGTCATCTAGTCCAACCCCCTGCAATGCAGGAATCTCAGCTAAAGCATCCATGACAGATGGCCATCCAACCTCCAAGGAAGCAGAGTTCACCACCTCTTGTGGGGGTCTGTTCCACTGCTGAACAGTTCTTCCTATCAGAAAGTTTTTCTGAAAGCTTAGTTGGAATCTCCTTTCTTGGAGCTTGGAGCCATTACCTCGAATCCTACCCTCAAGGGCAGGGGAAAACAAGGAAGCTCCCTCTTCCATGTGATAGCCCTTAAGATATCTGAAGATGGCTATCATATCTCCTCTCAGTCTCCTCTTTTCCAGGCTAAAAATACCCAGCTCCTTCAAGCATTTCTCATAAGACTTAGTTTCCAGACTCTTGATCATCTTGGTTGCCCTCCTCTGCACACATTCCAGCTTGTCAACATCCTTCTTAAATTGTGGTGCCCGGAACTGGACAAAGTATTCCAGGTGTGGTCTAACCAAGGCAGAGTAGAACGGTACTATGACTTCCCTTGATACGTCTGTTGATTCAGCCTCGAATAGCCTAGGCTTTCTTTGCTGCTGCATCAAACTGTTGACTCATTTTAAGTTTGTGGTCCACCAAGACCCCTAGATCCTTTTCACATGTACTACTAGTAAGCCAGATGTCCCCCATCCTATATTTGTGTATCTTCCTGCCTAAGTGCAGAACCTTACATTTGTCCTTATTATAATTCATTTTGTTAGCTTGCGTCCTGTTCTCTAATCCATTAAGGACATTTGAATTCTGATTCTGCCTTCTGTGGCTTTAGCTACCCCTCCCAGTTTGGAGTCATCTGCAAATTTGATGAGCTTCCCCTCAATTCCTTCATCCAAATCATTTATGAAGATGTTGAACAACAACGGACCCAGGACAGAACCCTGCGGCACCCCACTTGTCACTTTTTCCCCAGGATGTTGAGGAACCATTAATGAGTACTCTTTGGGTTTGGTCAGTCAACCAGTTACAAATCCACCTAATAGTTACCTCATTCAACCCACATTTTAGCAGCTTCCTCGAGAGAAAATCATGGAGGACTTTGTCAAAAGCCTCACTGAAATCAAGATATACCTTATTTTTCGCTCTATAGGACGCACTTTTTCCCCTCCAAAAATGAAGGGGAAATGTGTGTGCGTCCTATGGAGCGAATGGAGAGCGAGAGGGGTCGGTGAGCGAGAGGGGATAGCCGCCTGAAACCTTTGGAAGCGCAGCGGGAACTTGCGCTGCACTCCAAAGGCTTTGCAACCTTGCCACCGCTCCTGGACCCATTCTGGGGGCTGGGGTTGGGGGCAAGCTCGGGCTTCCCCCACCCCAGCCCTGCGGCTAGAAACGAAGGCAAGACAGCGAGCGGAATCCATCCCGCTCGCTGTCTTGGCTTCTGCCAAAGCTGCACACAGCCTCTCCCAGCTGGAGAGGTTGCGCGCGGCTAAAGAGGAAGCCAAAACAGCCAGCAGGATGGATCCCACTGGCTGTCTTGGCTTCTTTGCTCTTTGGGGCTGGGGAAAAAATAATTCCCCCCCTTTATTTCCCCCCCTAAAAACTAGGTGCGCCCTATGGTCCGGTGCGCCCTATGGAGCAAAAAATACGGTACTATATCCACAGCATTTCCCTGATCCACCAAGTTTGTAACCCCCCCCCAAAAAAATAATTGTTAGGAATCTCATGCTGGGTCTTAGTAACCACAGAATCCTTTTATAAATGCTCACAGACTGACTGTTGAATTATCTGTACTAGGAACTTCCCTTTATAAGAACTTCGGAGTAGACCTGCTTGATCTACCCCTTCTGATCCAGCACCCTGTTTGCAAGGTGGCAAACCAGATGCCCATGGATAGCACACAAACTGTGGACCTGAGTGCAACAGCAGCACTGTCCACAATTATGAGTCCCAGCAACTGGTATTCAGAGGCATGCTACCTCTGACCATGAAGGCAAAGTACAGCCACTGTAGCTAGTATCCTTAATGGTTTTATCTTCCATGAACTTATCGAATCCTCTTTTAAAATCACCCAAGTTGGAGGCCACCAGTATAACTTGTGGGAGTGAACTTCATAGCTTTAACTATGCACTGCAGGGAGAAATAATTTGTCTTTTTTGAATCTTCTGACATTCAGCTTTGTTGGATGAATAGCCTCAAATTCTAGTATTATGAGATCCTCATATTACATCCCTATGTAATCCCATTGGGAAGACCCAGGTAAGCCCTGCCCCACATAATCGATCACATGATGCAATGCACACGCACCATTTGAATGGCAATGCTCATCAACTTTGGGCCCCCCCAGTCCCCTCAAATATTTTATTAGGGGGGCCAAAGCCCCCTCAGCCCCCAGGAGTTGGCTCCTATGCCCTTGAGACTTTGGATTTCAAACCTTTTCAGAATTTTGCTTGTGAAATTTAGCTTAGTCAGGTTTCTCCCTCCCCTCTTAACTCTTACAGATAATTTTTCTATGCAGTAACATTAAGAAACCATTTCCTAAATTCAATGCTATTAAGACCTTGTTTCCTATTGAAATAATAATAATCCTGGAAACCAATCACATCTATAATGTTAATTTATGACCTGCACAATTTTGGAGAAGTACTCATTTCATAGAATGGCTCTGTTTTGGTTTGCATACTGTTTCAGAAACTGCAAAGCAGGTTGTTTTGCCTTTTAATGGGAATGGAATCTAACCCTCCATCTCTGTTGGCACAACTTTGCAAAGTAGGTTCCATTCCTTCTAATACATACCACTGCCCTTGAGTGACGTGCCCCCCCACCTCAAACTCAGTTTCTCATGAGATTATCATGGCTATTTCCACCACTATTCATCTTATCTCACTCCCCAAACATTTGGTTCTTTGGTTCTTTCCAAATTATTTATTTATTTATTTATTTATTTATTTATTTATTTATTTATTTATTTATTTCTATATGGTTTTAAACAATATACAAAGAAAAGGATGACAAAAGAAAGAATCAAAAGTAGCATTCAACTGCCTCACTGCCAGGGAAAAGAAATAAAACAAGTTAATATTGCATAGCAAATAGTCTGTCATGACTGTGTTTTACTCAGAAATCAGTTCAATTTATTGTGAGCAGCCATTAAACACATAAAAATAATAACAAGAATACCTGAAGACATTTCAACAGCTCAATGGATAAAAAAATTGTGCCTTGGGGGTTCATTTTGAACTGTTTTAAGTCATGTTTTCAGTATGTGCTTTGTACTGCTTTTAAAACTATGGTCTTATTATATTTCTATGAATTTTCTTGAGACTTTTATGTAAAAAGAAACCCACAAACTAATAACGAATAATCAAGGGTTGTGAGAGAGCTTCCTCTGGAGACTCCCCAGGAGCTCAGAACATGAGGGAGAGTATCCCAAAATCATCTACTAATGGGCCATACTTTTTGGAGGGAAAAGTATCCAAGTAAGGGTATTGGATACCCCTAAAGTTATTGCTTCTGCCATTTCTTTTCTAACCCTTCTCCCCATTCTCTGTTTTGAATCCTTATTGCTATCCTTACTGAGATTCTTGTCTTACTGGGGGTTGGACTGAATGACCCTAAGGGTCACTCCAACTCTACCGTTATATGATTTTATGAATCCAGTGTTTGTTCTACTTAGAGTAGACCCACTGAAATGAATGAATATCTCTGGCTTAGGTTTACTAATTTCAATGTGTCTACTGTGTGTATAACTTAGTTGGATCCAATATGTGTGTACATACATATGGGCACAATTATATGGGGTGCCTTTTTAGTCTATCAAACATTTTCTTTTCTTAAATAAGCATCTTCTAGATAGATCAGGACCATAGCTCAGTGCTAGAGCATAGTGTTTGCATGCAGAAGGTCCTAGGATCAGTTTCAGTCATTTCCCAGTTAAAGGACCTCAGCATGTGATAGGAAAGACCTGTCTCTGCCTTAGACTCCAAGGAGTAAAATATGACCGCATATAAGACAGTTTCCAGTTAGGGATGGAGGAGAATTTAAATTGAGCAAACCAACCTATTTCTCACCTTCTAAAGGTACCCCTGCCCGTACGGGCCAGTCTTGCCAGACTCTAGGGTTGTGCGCTCATCTCACTCTATAGGCTGGGAGCCAGTGCTGTCCGGAGACACTTCCGGGTCACGTGGCCAGCGTGACATCGCTGCTCTGGCGAGCCAGAGCTGCAACACGGAAACACCGTTTACCTTCCCGCTAGTAAGCGGTCCCTATTATCTACTTGCACCCGGGGGTGCTTTCGAACTGCTAGGTTGGCAGGCGCTGGGGACCGACAGGAGCGCACCCCGCGCAGGGATTCGAACCGCCGACCTTTCGATCGGCAAGTCCTAGTGCTGGAAGCTTTAACCCACAGCGCCACCTGCGTCCGGTGTTCTCACCTTCTAGACTAATACATAAAACAAATGTAATAGCACTTTAAATTTTGCTGTTCTCTTGTATTTGTTGAATAGTTTCTTGGCTTAAAAACATGCTTGAATATTGACCACATTTCTAATGAGAATTGGAGTCCAACAATATCTGGATATCAACATTTTACCCTACCCATGTTTTACAAAATACCATTCAGCAAAACAAATGTCCTTATTCCAAGAGCTTGAAATCAACACGTTGAGTCTGCTTGTAGGAATTTTGTGACATTTCAAGCAGTAAAGATCTCAGCCTGTATTTCATATCCAGTCACCTACTCTCTGCAATGCAATTGACTGGCATTGTACAGTGGAGTTGGCTTTCATGGATCAGTTGAAGCCAAAGACTGAATAATTGCAAAAGGTGTGCCGTGAAAGCTGAAACTCAACATTTTATCTGGATAACAGGAGTTAAGAGAGCCCTAGGGCAGAAGCAGGAAGCAACTTACCGTCCTTTGAAGTACCAAGACCACAATGGTTCCCAAAGATGCAAGAAGGCAGATTGTGAGAGAAATGATGGCGAAACAGAAGTATGTTTGGATTGGGGCACTGAACTTCCTGGTGACACTTTCTTCAGTCATATCTCTGGTAGCTTCCTGAGGACAATTCACTTGCATGAAAGCTTTCCGTTCTGCCTGAGAGTTCATCCCCTTATGAAGTCCTCAAGCCTTTCACTCCATATCTCTTTCTGATCACCTTCAAACAAGTCTCTGCTCCTTAGAGGATTCCCCCACATTTTGGCTCATGTGATCTGGAAAAAATAGATTCATCACTTGCCGTATGAAGAAAAAAAAAGGAGAGGAGATCTGGAGGCGGGAGGTGAGTCGGCTATGATCTCAACAAAGAGAAGGCTTTTCGGTACTCCCAAAACAGACTTCCACCAGGACAGTGCTTGCGTGAGCCCATTTGTAGTGCCTCACACTGAATAGTGAGTAGCAACAAAACACGGCTCATTCCCCTCTCTCAGTAGATTTGTACAACCCCATTGTCACATTTTGGTAAAATAAATCACTCTCAATTTTGGTGACTTCCTCTTTCACAAATTGCAGACTTGTTTCCTTTCTTCATGTGACGATGCAGCTACACTGAGTGATTTCCGCTTTGGAGATCTGAATTCCCAGAGCTGCTGATTCAGATATACATATATATTTAGAAACAAGTGTACAGCCTCAACATAAATGCAATGGAAAACATGCTCCTTTCTTTCTACACTGTTCCACTCCATGGTATCAAATATTCACAGTTGGGGTTTTTTTTTGGGGGGGGGGGGTATCTAGAGACATCCCAAGCACATTTGTTCATTATTTATTTATTTAAGTCACGCATATACTGCTCCATATTATAAAGAAATCTCTGAGCAGTTTACAGCATCAAGATATCAGAAAAGTAAAAATAAAAGAAATAAAAGCGCAAACACAACAAAAAGAAAACAAAGAATCAAAAATTTAAATCATAAGGCATCACAGGACAGAAGTACAAAGATACAGCACAACTCCAAAGGAATAATAATGCATTAATTCATACAAAGATTTCCTTTACAAATAATAAAGTTTTGTAAAAATAAAAATATTTTCCATCTATGAATTCCATCATTATTGAGAATAAATGTTCTATATAGCCTTAAATGAGCCAGGCATTTGCATATGTGATCGCACTGAGTGATCATGTGCCTCAATACAGTGGTACCTCGGGTTACAGACACTTCAGGTTACAGACTCTGCTAACCCAGAAATAGTACCTCGGGTTAAGGACTTTGCTTCAGGATGAGAACAGAAATCACTTTAGCCCCATTGGCTAAAGTGGTACCTCAGGGTAAGAACAGTTTCAGGTTAAGAATGGACCTCCAGAACGAATTAAGTTCTTAACTCGAGGTACCACTGTATTTGTATGAGAAATAAAATCATGCCACATATTTTTTAAAAGATCATTTGACCTCTGCCCTTTAAATATGTTTCGTTTGTGAGAAGACCAATTTGTCAAAGCCTTGAATACCTGCAATCTAGATTATTAAAACTGAAGTTCTTTCAGTACAGCCCTGGAGATGAGAAATAATTTTTTTACTTTCTGAATCTCGTTCTATTTCCGTATACAGGTTCAAAAGGGCCACTACAGTTTAGAGTAGCACTGTCAATTGGAGAAGACAGGCGTAGCCAATGTTGTGGTCTCAAGATGCTTTCAGGCTCCAATGCCCATCAACCCAAGACAGCATGACCAGCAGCCAGAGGTGGAGGGAGTTATGGGACTTTTAATCTCAGGACATGGGCTTCAGCTCCACATTGGGCAAAAGATTCCTGCATTGCAGGTGCTTAGACTAGATGATGCTCATGGTCCCTTCCAACTCTATAATTCTATGATTCTATAGTCCAACATCTAGAGTGCGCCATGTTGGCTATGCCTGAGATAAGATACCCTCTTAAAACATCAGTATAAACTACAAAAAATAACTACAAAAAATAACAACATACAGGGCTCATAAAAACTATTAGCAGATCCACAATACAAAAGAAAAAAAATCAGCCATACCTACAAAATATACAAGCATGTATTTATAGATAAAAGCACTCTCATTTCTTCTGCTGTCTCCCTACCTTAATATCACACTGAAAGGTGGGCCATGCTGTCCCCTCTCTACTGATCATCCCATTCACTATCCCTGCTCCATGCTCACATGGAGTGATGTGTCCTCCAACTGTGCAAATGTCTCTTGTTTGTCTGGACAGGTAATGGAGAAGCATAGGCGGAAGCTGTAGAAACATCTGGATTTTGCATGGCTGAAAAGTAGGGTACTGTACTAAGAGTCACATCAATTGCCTTGTCCACTTTTGGCTGAGGCCTCACCCACCCTTGGTATGTGTACTGCTGGGAGACTGGCTACAAGGGAATGGAAACAGCTCCCCATCTCACGTCTTCCAACTGCTGAAGCTTGTCAATTTCATCTTTTCTGTTCTGTAGTGAGGTCTCACATCTTGATTAGGCTTCTCTCCCCTGCCCTCTATCTCTGCAGTGAATCAAAGATACCATTTCACTCTAGAGATGAATATTGCAGTGGGTTTGAACTTCTTGTCATTTTCACCTCTATCTGTACTTGTGGTGGTAGAGAGAAAGCATGTTAGTTTCACTAAGGCTTCTTGTGGCCTTTTGTACACAAACGTTTATACAATTGGCAGAGCGGAGCTAGGAACTGAGCATCAGGCCTGTGCTGGGGCCCAGTCAAGATGGAAGCAAGAGTTCAGGGGCAAAGTCACAAGCTAAAAGTGGACCACATCAACCCAGGAATATTATTTCCCAGCAAAATCCAGCCTAATAAGAACCCTTGTGAAACTCTTCCTGCTTCAATGGATATGGCCAGTGAGATGAGCAAGGTTAGACCAGATCTTAGAAACATGATACTGCCCAGATGCTTCACCTTTTCAGACTGAAAACCCTCAAATGTTTCCACTTTTTCTCACTTGGGAGTTGTTTCACTCCCCCTGATTGTTTTGGTTGCCTTTTTCTGAATCCCTTCCAGATTCTTTATTGAGGTGAGATTACCAGAACTGTAAAGGTAAAGGTCGGCGGTTCGAATCCCCGCGGCGGTGTGCGCTCCCGTTGTTCAGTCCCAGCGCCTGCCAACCTAGCAGTTCAAAAGCACCCCCGGGTGCAAGTAGATAAATAGGGACCGCTTACAAGCGGGAAGGTAAACGGTGTTTCCGTGTGCGGCTCTGGCTCGCCAGAGCAGCGATGTCACGCTGGCCACATGACCCGGAAGTGTCTCTGGACAGCGCTGGCCCCCGGCCTCTTGAGTGAGATGGGCGCACAACCCTAGTGTCTGGCAAGACTGGCCCGTACGGGCAGGGGTACCTTTACCTTTTTAAAGGTAAAGGTAAAGGGACCCCTGGGCATTAGGTCCAGTTGTGGTCAACTCTGGGGTTGCGGCACTCATCTCATTTTACTGGCCAAGGGAGCCAGCATACAGCTTATGGGGCATGTGGCCAGCATGACTAAGTCGCTTCTGGCGAAACCAGAGCAGCGCACGGAAACACCATTTACCTTCCGGTACCTATATATCTATTTATCTAGTTGCACTTTTGACGTGCTTTCGAACTGCTAGGTTGGCAGAAGCAGGGACCGAGCAACGGGAGCTCACCCCATCGTGGGGATTCAAACCACTGACCTTCTGATCGGCAAGCCCTAGGCTCTGTGGTTTAACCCACAGTGCCACCCGCATTCCTTACCAGAACTGTACAGAATATTTAAAATGTGATTGCATTGTAGCTTTCTATAACAACATTATAATATTGGCAGTTCCTGGTCAGTCAGTCACTATCAGTTCAGAACCATTAGTGTATATGTGATTCCTATTATTTTTGCCCCAATGTGCATCACTTTACAGTTGTTTACATTGAATTGTATTTGACATTTTGCTACCTAAATTCTTCTGCAGCTTGAATTTCTGAACTGGAAAAGAATTCAGTGTGTTTAAAAACTTACCCCTGCTTTTTGGTGGGTATTAACAAGTCCCTGAAAAACTTTGCTGAGACTGTTTTGGGAGAAATTCTGCAGCATCCCTATTAATTCACATGTATCTGGAATACTCACTTCAGCTGATATTGTGATGACCACAACTGTACAAGCCCACAGAAAATGGAGGCATCCAATACCCTATGAACAGACTCAAAGTGACTGTACTTCCTCATCATGATTTCATGTTTCATATTGCACAACCTGTAGGTTGCATTACGATCATAGCTACTCAAGCGCATAGTTAATGACAGAAAATACTTTTGCTGTTCTTTCCCACAAGAGTGAATTATTTCAGCATTGATTGAATAATATATTGTTGGATGTGATTATGGAATTTTTTGGAGGGAGGGAAAGTTCTCATAGATCTGTGGCTCTCTCCTCCATGAATTTGTCTAATCCACTATGCGCTGTGTGAAGAAGTAAGCAATACTGTAGACAATACTAATCTGGGGAAATAGCTTTCTCTGTAACTCATGCCGACTGCCACTTCACAGGTAAGATTCACCTTCTGTTGTGTGGGCAGGATGGTCCCTCCCCTTACCTGGCCAATCCCCTGGCAAAGCCTCCCCAGGCAGGATTGGGCGATTGGCTGAGGTAGGTAGAGACCTCCAGGTATCCAGCCTGGAAAGGATGAAGCCAGCCCGAACTACCAGGAGTCACATTGGGATTCGGGGGGGCTGCATGCAACCAATCAAAAGGCGCCCCCCCATTTGATGTGGGGAGCGGTCATTGGTGCTGCACAATCCCTTGATGAATAATTTATTTCCAGAAAAGGTTAGAGTAAATAAACATGAACCAACAGTACAACCAAAGTTCTTGGTTTCAGGTTCCTATTTGCCTTAATGGAGGCAGTTCCCATGACACTGAGGGGATCGAAGGCAGAGAAAAACAGGAATGATAGATGATAAATCATTATTGGAAATTCCTCTCAGGGAAGGGAGGAATAGGCTTCACTGTGGTCTAAACCACTGAGCCTCTTGTCGATCAGAAGGCTGGTGGTTCGAATCCACATAATGGAGTGAGCTCCTGTTGCTCTGTCCCAGCTCCTGCCTATCTAGCAGTTCGAAAGCACGCCAGTGCAAGTAGATAAATAGGTACCGCTCTGGTGGGAAGGTAAACAGTGTTTCCATGTGCTCTGGTTTCCGTAACGGTGTTCTGTTGCACCAGAAGTGGTTTAGTCATGCTGGCCACATGACCCAGAAAGCTGTCTGTGGACAAACACTGGCTCCCTCGGCCTGAAAGTGAGATGTGCGCCACACCCCATAATCACTTTTGTTTGGACTTAGCCATCCAGGGGTCCTTTACCTTTTTTTACCTTGTCTCAGTACCTGGCTCTCACTCTGGCATGGAATGGCGGGGAGGTGCCGAGTGTAAAAGCACTTTGCCTGCTAAAAACTCTCCTACGCTGCCATTAAGAAGCATAGGTTTTCCTGTTACAGTGGTGCCCCGCAAGACAAATGCCTTGCAAGACGAAAAACTCGCTAGACGAAAGGGTTTTCCGTTTTTTGAGTCGTTCTGCAAGACGAATTTCCCTATGGGCTTGCTTCGCAAGACGAAACGTCTTGCGAGTTCTTGCGAGTTTGTTTCCTTTTTCTTAAAGCCGCTAAGCCGTTAATAGCTGCTAAGCCGCTAATAGCTGCTAAGCCGCTAATAGCCGCTAAGCCGCTAATAGCCGTGCTTTGCAAGACGAAAGAACCGCAAGACGAAGAGACTCGCGGAACGGATTAATTTTGTCTTGCGAGGCACCACTGTAATTGGGTTTTTAATTGGGTTTAAAGTCAGGTGCGCTCTGAGAGATGTTATCACCCGAACTGCGAAATTACCCAGCTGCATTGATCTGAGGTTTAAAACAGAGAAAAGGATTTTATTTGGTGTGGGCAGTGGATGATGGAGAGGGGAGCCTCTGGTTTCCTGTTTATTTTGAGTTTCTTTATTAATGATTTGGCAACCCTCTCCAGATGCAAAATTTTAAAGATACAAAATTAGATTTTATTGCAGTATGGAATAAAACTTGTGATTAAAATAACAATTAGCTGTGTGGTGGTGGTGGGGAGCTCTATTGCTTGAATGGATTATCTTGGAAAATTAGAGCAGATATCATCTCTACCCCAAAACAACAACAACAACAACAACAGAAGAGATACAACTTTAGTGGACTTTGGCCAAAATGCAGCTGTAAAGATGAAAGGAATTTGGAGCCATGGATGAGGGAGGCATGGAGACCCTGATGGTGATTAATTAAAATGAAAGTACTCGAAGATCCCCTGTGGCGCAAGCTGGATCCCTCTTTCCTGGGCTGTGGAAATTTCTAGGTGTTGCCTGAGTAGTGAGAAAGAGTGGACTGGGAGTATGTTGTTGTCCGGAAACACCAAGCAAGATGAGAGCATGATGGGAGGGAGCTATTGAGATACTTTGAGAATTCTCCAGGATTATAGCCCCACACTGAGAGACAATAGCATTTGGAGGAATTTCAAGAATATTACAGCAGGCAAATGCCATAAATGGACATCTTCAGACTGACACACACAGAAAAAAGGAAAATAATTAGAACAATTCATTTGAAATCCTATGGAAAGTTAGATAAGGTATTAAAATGGATAGAAATTGCTAAAAATGCAGCTGTTATCTTAATGATTAAAATACCAACTGAAATGTAATTAGGTTTTAATAAAAGATATAAACTGCAGCAATATAAGAACTGGACAAAAAACATTGATCAAGGAGCGTGGGAAACTATTAATTGGAATCTGTATAATTGGCAAAACTGTGGTAATATTGGGCAAATATTGGAGAATTAATAAAAATATATATTAAAAAAGTACAATCAAAGTTCTCATGGCTTTTATCCACTAAGCCCATTCCAAATATATACATCTGATTTTATTTTCACTGACTGAATCAATCTTTTTTGTCGTCTTCAGGCAGCTCATTAGCAAGAATTTCTGTTAGGGCTGCACTCAAACACATTCATTCTCTTTCATTTATTATTTCTCATGCTGTGAATCAGTAATAGAGTATCTGCTTTGCATGATTCAATCTCCAACATCTTCAGATAGGGCAGCGAAAGGCCCTTGCCTGCAATTCTTGGCAGCTGCTACCAACCAGGGTTGACAATAGATGAGCCAATGATCAGGCTCAGTATAAGGCAGATTCCTATGTTCCTATTTTAGGGGAAGGGTGGTAGCTCATTGGTAGTTCAGCATCTGCTTTGCATGCAGTAGGTCTCAGGTACAGGGAAGGGGTGGGCTGCATATTTCCTTGCTGTGATGAGGAAAAAATATATTAATAAATTATACATCAAATACAGCTTTGGAACACAAAGTGATCTGAATTCAAGATAAAAATAACTTTGGCAAAAAGAGATAAACTTGAAAATATTTTTATATATTGGAGAAGGGTTTCAATGGAATGAGGGAGATATTAATGATATACAAGATACCACAGAATATTTAGATAACAGAAGATCTAATAACATGAAAGAAGCAGAGAGAGAGAGAGAGAGAGAGAGAGAGAGAGAGGTGGTTTAGTGCTATAATCAGAGGAGTTACTCATAAGATTCATACGCTTTGACGTTAAGATGACAATAAAAATGGTTAGACTCCACTATTTATTCATTTCAATGCTGCTCTTTGTATACAACTCAAGATGGCACAAAGCCGAAAAAATTCAACAGTCCATTAAAAACATTAAAACAGTGTTAAAATCTTTGAAAAATAGCAATGCAACAGTGAGTCAGGGCAAATTAACATAATTCTCTGGAACTTGACATAAGCAAAGACCTGCGTACATAGGTATGAGTCAAGTGGGGTGGAGAAGACATTTGACACATTTATTAATCAACAAATGAATTTAACATAGTCGAATGAGTATTTATAAGAGAGACTTTGACATGTTTTGGCAGAAGTCAAGAGTGACTAACTTTTGGCTCTACAGATACTGCCACCAATTGCTCCCATCTGCCTGTATATCAGTCAGGGATAATGGGTGTTGGATTCCAGAAAAACCCAGAGAGATATAGGTTCTCCTCTTGGGCATAGGAGGGGATTCAAGTGGTTAGACAGATTTAACATTTGTAGAGCTAGAATCCTGATTGATGGGCAGCAGTCAAAGAAGTCATCCTAGCAGAAGTGCACAATGAGGATGCTTACTCTTATCTCTTATTTGAGATGTATAGCAAAGTCCCATTCTCCAGGGATAAGGCATGTTGGGTGTTGGAGGGTCTCAGGTTCTCCATCCCTGCCACAGCCTATCTGGATAGATTGCAGCCAAACATTCATGAGGTAACTGTGGAACACACATGCATGTGTGTGGCCACAGTCGTAATTCTTCTTCCTCCTCCTCTTCTTCTTCGATTGTGCACAAAAAGCTCTTGTAAGCATTGGTCAGAAGAGGAAAGGGTCAGAAGGAAAATGGGACTGCATTCCTACACCTGCTTACTCAAAGGGACTTGTGTTGTAAATGTGCTTACTTCTGCATAGGGTTGCACTGTTGTTGGGAAGAGATAGGAATTGCTGTTGCCTGCTACATTGCTCCCTTTGCTGCCAGTTCAAATGAAGGCACAGGTGAGCCAGATATGATGGGACAGCAACAGCTGTGAAACGCTGTGAAACAGAGTCAGGTAGAGAGAAATGGGGGGGCGGGCGGGGGCGGAGAGGTTGCAGTGTTTGGGACTTCCTAGTTTAGAGAAAAGGTGAGTAAGAGGTGACATGATAAAGGTTTATAAAAGTATCTGTGGCATGGAGAAGGTGGATAAATAAAAGCTTTTCTCCCTCTCCCATAATGTTAGAACTCATGGACATAAAATGAAGCTGAATGCTGGAAGATTCAGGCCAGAGAAAAAAACTGTGGAACTCACTCCCACAGAATGCATTGATGGCTCAGAAAATGATGAGAGGGTTACCTTTGCCTGACTGGTGAAGGTCCCACCAGGAAATCTCTGACAAAATGAGACAACCTGGGGTTCTGAGAATCCATGGGGCCTTAAAGTGTAATTATAATCTCTTCTTGCTTTTTTTAAAAAAGAACACCAATGTGATTTTAAAAAATGTTATGCAGCCTAAAAACTGAAGGGGTAGAGCAGGGCATAAGTTTCATAAAATGAGCACTTAGGGAAGCCAAGTAAGAAGATCATTGAGGTGGAGGAGGCAGTGGTGGGTGTTATGAAATAAGCAACAACCTCAAGGGGAAGAAACTTCAGTCCTGGAATTTTGAGAAATAAGCCTCAGCATTTCAGTGGCAATAGATAAAGATCTGTCTGACTCTATGCTTTTGACTCTTGGCAGTTTGTGACTACAATAAGAAGTTTCCAATGTGTCATTTCCACTGGGGGTTTGCGTTCATCCTGTGTATTTGTGTGTGTGTGTGTGTGTGTGTGTGTGTGTGTATGTGTGTGTTTGCATGGGAAAATGCACATAGATGCACAAATATTTTTGGGTGTTATTTACCACACATCTACTATCTTTCAGGGACTGCATAAGGATCCTGCAATGTGTGGGCATAGTACTGAACAAAGAATCCTGCCCTGCCCCCAAGACAAATCCATTACAACTAAGCTGCCAAACCGAGTTCTCGTGATTCTAGAATATTAGACGACATGAAAAAGTTATCCAGTTCATCTACAAAACAGTCCTTTGAATGAGGAGATCGTAGAATTCCCCTGTTCTGTACCTTTTTTGTTCTCTTTGCTTGCTCTGAATTGTGGTTTACCTAGGAGGGTTTCTATAAAAATAATAATCTGGAAATCAAACATGCAGTGTCTGTTTTAGCTTTTTCTTGATAGGTAACAAGTATGGGAACCAAACAAGACAAACTGGAGCTTTTAATACAGGATGGCAAATGTGGGATGAGACTCATGACTAGAAGGTAGGAATTGAGAAGTATAACCTGTTCAAAAGGAATAGACCAAACAGGACAGGAGGAGGAGTAGCATTTTATGTAAAGGATGTTTACACTTGTGAATAAATCCATGACCTGGAACATAGAAAGCAGACTGAGAGTATATGGGGGGGGGGAATTGAAGGAGAGAGAAACAACAGTGACTTTACTGTGTGTGAATGCTATAGACTGCCAAGCCATACTGAAAACTTGGATGATGCCTTACTAGAGCAGATTACCAAACATTCAAAATAGAGAGAAATAACAATCACGGGGGACTTAAACTTCCCTGATATTTGGTGGGACTCAAACTCACACAAGAATGAAAGGTCTGAAAAATTCCTCCATTGCTTCACTGACAATTTCACTTCCCAGTAGGTGGAAGAAGCAACAAGGGGATCATCTACTTTAGACCAGGTCCTCACCAACAGGGAGGAAGTGGATACACTTGGAAACTTGGTATGAAGTGATAATGTCCTCCTATGTTTCACAATACAAAGGAAGGGGAAAGCTAAGTGTTGTCGGACACGCACTCTGGATTTTAAGAAGGCCAATTTCAAAAAACTGAAGGAGCTAATGGGTGAGATCCCATGGTCAGAAATACTCAAAGAGAAGGGAATTCAAGATGGATGGGAGTTTCTAAAAAGAGAAACATTGAAGGCCCAAATGCAGACAATTCCAAGAAGAAAGAAAAGTGGGAGGCATATAAGGAACCGACGTGGCTGCATTAGGAGCGAACAGATGAGCTGAGAGTTAAGAAGGGCATGGATAAAAAGTGTAAAAAGGGGAAATCATAAAGGAGGAGTATACATGAGGAGCCAACAGTTGCTATCAGAATAGCAACAGAATAAATGATGTAAGGAGGGAGCCGCAGCCCAAGATAGGAAAAGAGGTAGTAAGGGAATACCTAGCTACTTTATTTTTTATATAAATTTTATTTATAATTTTCATTGTTGCCAAACATCACATGACAGTTCCCAAGATGGAGGAACTGTTTTTTTTGGGGTCTACATTTGGAAACTTAAACATTTTAAATCAATAAGGCGATCAAACCATTCTAAGTTAGAATGATCCAGATGCCTCTGGAGATACTGTCTCCATTTGGCATGATAGTTCTTGAAATTGAGGAGTGGATTTTGGCCTAAATTGAAAACTGTTGGACACTATTTTGAATCAAGGTGGTGGGCCTAACTGTTCCAAACTGCTTTGACTGGGACACTTTTGAGGCTATCATTGCCCCATTGGGGGTGATGGTTCCTGAGACCAGGCAGTTGGTTTTGGTCTGTGTTTGGAAACCGTGAGATGCCATTTTGAATCAAGATGGCACACAAATCGATGCATCCTAAACAGCACTGATTTGGACACCTGGAAATATATTCTTGCCCAATTTGGCATGACAGTCCACTGACCTAAATCCCATCCCTCTTGTCCATCCAAGGGTGCCAACTTGAATAAAAATATTTTTGGGGGGTGGGTGGGGAGATAAGCCCTGCCCCACATTATCAATCATATAACATGATGCACAAACACCATTTAAATGGCAGTGTCCATCAACTGGGGCGGGGGGAGGCTGGCCACCTCAAATATTTAATTGAGGGGGAGAGGCAAAGGGATCTCAGTCCCTAGGAGTTGGTTCCTATGCCTCCCCCAAGTCCTCCCCAAGCAATCTGATACTCCTTTGTCTTGCCTTTGCGCCACCCTTTTCATACCTCTTTGGGTTCTGGGAGACCAGAGAGGAGGGGAGCTTGTTGAAGCAGGAGGGAGAAACAACTTGCTCCATCACCCCTTCTTCCTATTCACCCCTTCTTCTGGCTGCTTGAAGTTCTCCCCCCTCCCTCCCTGATGAGGCTCTGCACTCCACAGTACGTGGGGGTGGGGTGGAAATAACCAGATTTGCTTGCCCCTCTGACATCTAGAGTAACCAGAAGGGCACCTCCCTCTTCTGTCCCTGGATGCCTGCCTTCCAGTACCCAAGCCACTTCCTTTCCTTCCTCCTCCTCTTCCAAATGGGGCTGCCAAGTGATCTGACTCAGTATAAGGAAGCTTCCTATGTTATGCACCAGGCAACTGGGTGGGTCACATGGAAATAATTTCATAGCCACCTCTTGCTGATGTATATAGTACGCTTGAATTGGGAATCATAGGGTCCTCTAAGTGTATGCAGACAACTAGCAACACAATCAGGTTCCTGGCAGCTAACATATATGTATTTGTCAACTGAATCAGATGGAGAATATCATTCATGGCATACGGTAATGTTCCTTATGTGGTGCAACAAGGGAGAAACATTTTGTTTACATTTGCAACCTGTTCTGATTGAGTGGAAAATATATGCTGGAAGTCTCTCTCAGACACTAGTGGCAGCATTGTAAGCAATTTTTCCCTTCCAAATCTGTCTAATCTTTCCCAGCACTTAAAAGATCACAGCTCTCTGTATCTTTTATCAGGGGAAGCCCAAGTTTCAAAATCATTTCCCCAAGTTGCTATGAAATTCTAAAGAAAACAGTAAGCAATGCCTGTTGATGCATGAGACTTTAAAGTCAATGCATAAGCTCCAACTTTTTATAGGGGAAAGTGAGGTCACTACCTAGTTTCCCTCCCTCGCCAATACTAATCATAGACTTATAGAGCTGGAAGGGATCACAAGGATCATCTAGTCCAGTCTTTCTCAACCTGTGGGTCCCCAGATGTTGTTGAACTACAACTCCCATCACCCTAGCTAGCAAGGCCAGAGCTCAGGGATGATGGGAGTTGTAGTCCAACAACATCTGGGGACCCACAGGTTGAGAACCGCTGAAACTGCCTGCAATGCAGGAATCTTTTGCCCAACATGGGGCTTGAACACATGACCATGAAATTAAGAGTCTCATGCCCTACTAACTGAGCTATCCCAGGAGACTGGTGTTTTTGAAGCCTTGATTCCATCTTTTATGTGCTCTGTTTATTTGCACAGAAAGTCTTGTACTGCTGTGTTTTAAAAGCCAAGACGGTGATTTGTGATTTGGTTGGCGATTCAGCAGAACAGGGGCTGAAAGTGGCCCTTCTGGCTTCTCTGTCTGGCCCTTGGGATTCTTCTTAGGTCATAACCCAACAGAGAGCCACACCTCTTACTGGCTCTGCTTACACCCTCATTGAGTGCTTTTGCCTGGCTGGACTGTGTTATTGAACTCTGAGAAAGCCTCTTGTGTGGCTGGCTGGAGGACTGAGTGGAATGTGTGTAGAAAGTAGGAAGCAATGCGAAGGTACAATCTGCGTTTAAAAAACAAAAAAAAACTTTTTTATATTGTTACATTTACGATCACAGTCCTATGTTAAGGACGAGTCTGCTGAAATGCATCCTGCTATTATAATGGAAAATTGTGTGTGTAGGTTCTGTGACTCACAGAAAATGGTTCAATGGATTAATCTGAAATTTGGCAGCATAAGAGAGGTATTATTATTACTATTATTAGACTGAAGAAGAGTTTGGATTTGATATCCCGCCTTTCACTCCCTTTAAGGAGTCTCAAAGCGGCTAACATTCTCCTTTCCCTTCCTCTCCCACAACAAACACTCTGTGAGGTGAGTGGGGCTGAGAGACTTCAAAGAAGTGTGACTGGCCCAAGGTCACCCAGCAGCTGCATGTGGAGGAGCGGAGACGCGAACCCGGTTCCCCAGATTACGAGACTACTGCTCTTAACCACTACACCACACTGGCTCTCGAACACAGACTGTGTCAGTAGCTAAAAATCTGAACCAGATTCCAGCTGGATGAATATTTGTAATGTGCAATGTTAACTCCAGTTGCATGATAGCTTCAGGCAGTTACATTAGCCTCCTTGAGTCTATTCCAGTACAGTGGTACCTCGGGTTAAGTAGTTAATTTGTTCTGGAGGTCCGTTCTTAACCTTAAACCGTTCTTAACCGGAAGCACCACTTTAGCTAATGGGTCTCCCGCTGCTGCTGTGCCGCCGGAGCACAATTTCTGTTTTCATCCTGAAGCAAAGTTCTTAACCCGAGGTACTATTTCTGGGTTAGCGGAGCATGTAACCTGAAGCGTCTGTAACCTGAAGCGTATGTAACCCGGGGTACCACTGTAAACAGACTTTAGTCCACCACTGCCTGCTGACAGCCATGCATCTCTAAAACAGTGGTAAAATTGGAACTAACCACATCACAGGATGCCATACCAAATCCATATTTCCTAGATAACATGTTTGTTAAGAGTGTGACCCTTAACCTGTGGTATGTCCTGGCGTTTTGGAGCTTGAGTGAACGTAGAAAGCCTTAACATGTGTTAAACCAAAAAGGGTTTTATTTTGCTTAGAACAGAATTGCCTACTGTTTTCGCAGAAAGTATGTGCCTTTTAACAGATGCATGGTAGGTGATGACTCAGAAGAAATATCCCCCTATCCACACTGGGGGCGGAGGAGGAGTTAGAATCTCTAGGCTATGCTCACGTTGTCAGTTTAAAACACAGCTAGGTCATTCTTTTTTCGTTTCTTTTTTCAAATAATGAAAAATGCAGTTTTTATATATGTATATAAAAACTATAGAAAAGAAACAGGATAGATATGGGTTGTGGGCTCACAATGTGTATACACCACTACTCAAACCAGTGGTGAGAGTGTACTGGGTGAAGAGTAAAGGGAAATGTATATGCAGCCTTAGTTTGTACAATTCCAGATGGCAGTGGAGAATATAACACATTGATGCTTTGGTTTGTGGGCAATGTGTGTGTTCTTTAAAGTCTAGCTACTACATGCCCAGACTTGCCTAAATTAGCCTAGACTTGCCTGAATTAGCCCAGACTTGCCTGAATTAGCCCAGACTTGCCTGAGCTGACCCAGACTTTCCTTACAGTCTTATTTCATGTCTTGCACCCAGGGATGCAACTTCCAAAACAAGGACCACTGCACAGCTGTCCTTCAAAATTCACACACCTCTAAATATTCTAGTTCAGTTCTCCAGCTGAGTAATGAGTACAGAAATGCATACACTGGGGTAAGGTGTCTAGAAAAACCATATATTGATGAAAATAACATTAAAAATGCATTATTTTAGGGCAAATGGCTTTACAAAAATCTGTATTTTTATTGCAAACTGATGTGGAAACG